ACACACACACACACACCACCACCACCACTACCAGCAAGGAGCCCCAGCCCCAGTCATGGAAGAAAGGTAAGGTGGCCATCTCCCCCAGCTTCAATAGCCACATGCAACCTCTAGTCAGTGGGAGGACAGTGCTGGCTTTGCAGGGATGACTGCCCAGAGGCCTGGTGGTTGGTCCCACTGAGCATCTGCACTTCCCCTCCAGGTCTCAATATAGGATGGCGTGGCTCTCAGCCCTGGTTACAGGCCCTGAGCACCTGAAGGAACAGAACACAAGGGCTCCAGTGTTGGCCTGAGGTCTGAGCTAGGTCTTGACAGAAACCTCTGGGTTTTGCTGCAGACCAGAGTTTTCGACCCATTGGGAATTACATCCCAATTTTGAGCAGGCCCTCTCTCTTGAAGAGATTATGTTCTGGGTATGATTCAACATCTTGAAATTAAAGCAGAGGCTTGGCCTTCCACATAAAGTCCTCTGGCTCCTTTCCTCCAGACATGTAGGGCCCAGAAGTTGTCCAGAATATTCCTAAAGCCACCTCTCACATACTGAGGGTCTCATCAGCCCCCTTGCCCTCTCTAGACTCTGCCTCCCTCCCTTCCACGCTACCCAAATCCCCAGTTACCCTATCTAAGGAGGAGCGGTTGACAGCAAAAGAGAAAAACTAAGAATTGAGAATTTTAAATAAGGGGAAGAAGTGATGATGCATAAGATAGGCCTGTGAGAAACACTAAAAAACTAAAACACATTAAAAACTCGTCAAGGGCCTCCCTGGTAGTACAAGGGGTTAAGTCTCAGCATTATCACACTATCAGCAGCCACTGTAGCACAAGTTCAATGACACAGCAGACCGCTCCTGTCCCACCCACTGCTCCCTTCAGCAGTGTATTTCAGTAGCTCTGCCTGGCCTACATCCCTGCTCGTTTATGTATAAGCAAATCTTTAAAAAATAAAAACTAGACAACATGGAATTTTACAGTGGGCCCAACTCCAAGTACAGCACAAGCAAGTGGGAATTTATAACCAAGAATCAGAATAAGAGGAAGGGAAATTACCAAGAAGACACATCGGGGATAGGGGAGTTCTGGCTAACCCCCCCTACTAGGATTCTTGCTGCAGATAGACTGGGTGATCAGATCATGGAGGGCTGCTGGAGGGTGAGGAACCAGAGCAGATATTGAGGGTGGAGGGTTCTGGTTAAACTGACTTAGCAGGATTCTTCTAAAAGCTGGATTTTACCCAAAAAGTACATAGAGGTTTAGGAGCCCAACTAAAGTCTGGTCAAGCAAAGACTGTAATTTTTTATACCAAATATTCCATGACCCAGATTATGACTTTAGACTTGACATCATTTTTCTGCATACTATTTAAACCCATAACCAATATTTAAACAGTAACCAAATAATTCATACCACCTCTCTTTCTGATTAATCACTTTACAGTACAGAGGCCTGCCTGTTCCAATGTATTTAAGCAGCATATAACATCCTCTAGTGGTGAGTCGAAGTATTTTAAAAAAATCATGTTGCAGCCAACCTAATGTGGTTTTTTGGATGAATATTGGGAAATTCTATGCTCTTCTGCTTGGCTACGTTTTGACATTAGCTTATTTCACTGAAAGCTCATTATTTAACATATGCTGTCTCCTGAAGGTTCCTATTTCTCTAAACTGCAAAAACAAACCTGACAGATTTTCAAAACTGAATTTGGATTTAGGGAAAACACTATTCTGTAAAATGTCAACAGACCCTTGGCTTGCATTTGGGAAGAGTGATAGCAGAAAGCTGGGAGGAGAGAGGTGAGGCAGGGGTTTGTGTTCAGACACTTGTTCTCCAATTCTAGCTTCTCCAAAAGGCAGAAATTCCCCAACCTCTCTGTCTCCTGAGTATGTCTGAGTATGTCTCAATTAGCACATCCCAAGATAGGAGCAATTCCCGGGGCTTACTTACAACCCACTTCTTTCCTACTCAGAGTCTCATGAAGTAGAAACAACAGGTGAAGGAGATTAAATACGGAGGGCTGTGGTCCACTCCAGGCAGCATCTGCATGGTATCATTCCATGGATGATGTGCCATGGGTGAGAAAGGCCCCCAGAGGGTTGTCTCTTAAACTTATTGCCAAATGAGTGGTATTTCTCCCCACATTAATGACTGCATGCCCATTCCTATACACTTGCTATTTTGGGAACTTTAATCAAGAATCAGTCAACTGAGAAAAATTAAGCTTTATTTTTATTAAAAACATTTATTTTGATTAATAACCAGACAACTAATTTAAATGAAGCATTCTTCAACGTCCATAACAAATATAAATGTAATCATGGTTACATAAAGAAAACAGGGAATGCCAAGAAATATGACATTAATGGCAGCAAAGTCTATTTATTTTTGTTAAGCAAAAATAAGAAAGCAAAAAGCAGTGTGCTTCTCTTTTGATGGGAATGACAGATTTAAATCTCTTGCAGTCTGGATAGTTGGGAGAAGGTGCCTGCAGCTTTATATTGATTATGTTGAAGACCAGCTTGGGCACCAGGAGAAAGGCTTCAAGGGATAACCTAGCTTCTTGCCCACTCTACCTAATTGCCCAGCCACTGCTGTCCAAGTTCAAAATGTTCTTTTTGGTTCAGCATAAAAGTTCTTAGTCAAGGGAAATTTTAGTTTAGAAGCCCCAGTGAAGAAAAATGGGAGATCAGTTCCCAAAAAAGGAACCAGTCTATGGATCTTCTCCTACCCCAGAATTGTTTTTTGAGATAAAGTAGGCTGAACATCTTTGAATCTGTATCTATAACCAGAGGTTACAGGTTCAAACCTGTAGATGTATACTTAAGACACCCTCACCAAGTGTGCCCCAACAATCCTCCACAGTGTTCCACCTGGCTTTTGAAAGACATCAAGACAAGCTGAAATCGATAGGAAATGAAAAGCAAGTCACTGAAGACTAAATTATTTATATCTATTTTATAGAGTATTTAGATTTGGAAATACTGGTTGTGTTCTCAGGCTACTTGGATAAGGTTAGTGCTCCTCACCTGAACAAACAGGCTGCAAAGCACCGTTGTGTACAGAAGTGGCACAGGGTTGTAGAGTAGTTGGAAATGAGCATTAAGCCTAGCCTCAGTGTGAGTGAGGCAAGTTTAGGCTCACATCATCAGGTACTTCACAACCTAATACCTACACGCTAACATCAAGAGGAAGAAGGCATAGTTTAAAGCCATCTGAAGAAACTGGATATGTTAACTTAGTTTTCTCTGGAATTGGCAAATCTTTGCCTGTATATTATTCACAAATATTTTCCATGATTCATAGTACTTTATCACCTCATATATACTATGAGAACAATTTTAAAGTAATTTTATCATAACTCCATGGATTATGGCAAAGTGATCTATTAACATTTTTCACATTACAAAGACAAATACTCCCACTGAGTAAGTGATGGTGTTCAAGGTACTTTAATTTTGAAAAAAAAATAAAAATAAAAAAGCCTAGCATGAGTTTTCAACAAATCTTAGAATGACATATAGTATGCTTCAAAATATTACAATGAAGATTGATATTTAATGCTATATTCAACTAGCAAAAGGTCAAAAACTGCTTAGGGTTTACAAAATGTAATGATTTATTTTTATGATGTAATTAAGTGATAAAAAAAAGATTTCCTATTGTTATCTGAATATACTTCTCTACAAAAAACCTGGATATAACCTTTATATGTCATTAAATGGTAACTCTAACTGGATGCAGTAATTACATTTTCTACTTAACTTTCACTTAAAGTAGGGAGCAGAACAGGCAGATCTATTGAAATACAATGCTAAGGAGAGCAGCAGGTGAGACAGGAGAGGTCTGCTGGACCATGTGGGTCACCTCCCTGGCCTGGGATCAAACTTGTGCTACAGTGGCTGCTGATAGCCTGATAGTGCTGTGACTTTAACCCCTGCGTCACCAAAGAAGCCCAAATTATTATCACTTTTAACATGCCATGTTGTATTTGAACAATTCGTATTATGCTTTCTGCCTTTAACAGTAGAAATCAAACTATTAAAAACTATGAAAAAGTCATCTCAGCAAATAAATTATTATAATGATGTAAGATAAACTACTAGATACACAAGATTTAGAAACCTAAAAAAATGTAAAAGAAACAAATGTAAATTAAAAGTACATCTGATAATTGACTTTATTTGTACATATTAAAAATACTGCTTTATGCTTGAAAAATAATCATTTTATTCATAAGGAGATCCAGAATTAGCACACTGCTTCTTTTAAAATGATTTTCGAAATAGTGGACAGAAAACTTATAAAAATTTGAGCTGATTGCACGGAAGGAGGTGTTTTTAAACAAATGCTAAACATTTTTAGAAATTGACTTTTTGAAGTTTTTCTGAAACTACACTGAAAGGAAGTGATGAAAAACCATAAGCAACTGAATGGATACAGAAGTTTCCACTATGGTGTGAGTTGCTGCGGCCTTACTATGCGCTGTCACAGCGGCGCTGCATACGTGAGGCAGCACAGTGAGCAGGCCACGGCCCGACGAGGCACCACTGGCTTTGGGTGATACAGTGCTAGCGTGAGATCTAAAAAGACAGCAACATTCCAATATAGTGTACAGGTTTTTCTTCAGTTTCCTCTGATTTTATATTGGCCTGAATTACTCACCATGTGTTGTGCTCAGGCAGGGCCTTTCCTATAATCCAGGAAGATTCCCTTACAAAACCCCAAATGAAAAGTTCCTTTAGATCTGCCTCCAAACTCAAATACACACAATTTAAGGCCTTGGTTAGAATAGATTCATGGTTTTCCTGTGACAAAAAATTTCAAATAGATTCTTCTCCCACATCTTTGGGATCTCTTCTTATATATCAATCAAGATACCTGTATCTTCTTAGTGTTAGCAAAATTTCTTCCATACTGAAATCACTAACTTCTTAAATATATCTATATGTATGCAGATCGATACAGATATAAATATCTATATCATAACGGATGCTTATTTACTTACACACACACTTCCCCTTTCTTTCACCCTCCCTCCCACCCCACACCCATGGGGCATGCTCTCTCTTTGACTCTCTCTCGCTGTCTCTCTCATACATTTGCTCTCTGCTCTCACAGAAGCAGAGAGGTCAAAACCTAGTTGAAATATTCCAGAATATTCCTAAATATGTCCTAAGTATGTCATGTAATGAAACCGACCCTTCATGGATCAAGATCATTTTACCAGAGTTCTCCTTTTCAGAGTTAAAATGCAAGTCCACAACTACTACTATCTCCACAAATCCTGTCCTCAGTGTTCCCTACAATTACAGAACATGGTCCAGCAACAAAGCCCATTGTAACCTGAGAAACTACCCACCATTTCTGCTTCTGCTTACTAAGTATAACATTTCTTGCATTTCTCTAATTCAATAGCACTTAGAACTAGCTGACCGAGAAGTTGTATTGTATAATGTTATATCACTGCACAAGTAAACAGTTTGGTGAAGTTATGCCAATTTGCCCATCTACTGTTCAACTAGCTATTAAAATCCGTTCTGCCTAAAGACATTCAAATGCTTACCCTAGACAATTACAAAATTCTATTTGGGGAGACAAAGAAGTTTAAGGATCATTAGAAATATGCTAGTAAATACTAGTTGATACATTCTGCTATTCTTCTTATAGGTCTTTGTCTTTCACAATAGCTTACCTATACTATAAACCCACATCTCCTTCTCCCACTCACGAGTTTTAATACACTCTTTTTCCTATCCGTTTCTTTAAAGTGTTATCATAAATCATTGTAGATGATACTTCTAACTTGATTTTTATTTTTCACTTAATTGGTGGTTTTCAAGCTTCATTATCAGTGGATTCTTAATTCTAATTAAATCTTGTAGAGAAGCCCAACATATTAAACAGTCAAAAGCAGAGTGCTCTGATACAAAGGGAAGGTTCCAGTTTGATCACTGCTTCTAGGTCATTCAAGAGGCTGCAGTAAAAATTAATTCAATTGGAATTTCTTCATTTCCAATAATTATAAACAATTTTCCCATGGCTTCCAACTTTAAAGAACATCTTTTGAGTACAGCAGCCTTTACTTCAGTTAATGGAAAAAAAGCAAAGTATCTTAACATCTAACATTTTAGGTAAATATTTGAATTCTTACTTTTCTGTACTATTTAAAAATGCAGATTAGTATAGGATGTAGTCCCACAATTAAGTTATAAAACAAATCTTAAAAAATATTTAACACATGACAGAAACATTTTCTTAAAAATGATTACTGTTTCACAATGATAGTTACTTTAGCTGGTATTCAAACTCCACCAAAAGGCTCTAGAATCTCAAGAAAACAGAAATAATTTTGTAGTTATTCTGAAACAATCACCATCTATCTCCCTGTACAAAAGTGCTGTCCCTACGCTTTGGATTAAAAAAATAAAATATCCAATTTTTTTTTTGGAAAAGGAAAGGAAGAAAAGGTTGACTTTTAGCTTTGTCAAGCTTAGATTAGAAAGACTGCAAAAAAATAAACGAAAAATTTGTTTCTAAAAAAATCTCATTTGTGTTTTCCAAAGGCTATTTCCTCACACCCATCAACCTCCTGTGACATTCATGGAAGGCCATTAAGCTAACTTAATAAAGCCATGCCCTCTGTCAGTGACTGCTTAGCTTTCGGGGAGGAGACACCCCTGCTCTTCTATGTTCCTCACTGGCTGGACAGGCAGCACCAGGTGTGAAATGCGGCTCCACAGCCCACTCAATTTGTCTGAGTCCATGTGGTTGAAGGCGTTGGCAGTGTTGGAGTTGGTAAACCTGCCCCAGAGTAAATCTCTCACTTTTTCTTCAGTTTCCCTTGGGCCAACGCTTGCTTCTAATGCTTCCTCCTCTAGAAGAACAGTCAGGACCAGGGCCACATCTTTAAAGGCTGCATTCTCGTGGTCGCAGTATTTGTAGAAGATCAAGGTGGAGCCTGCAGGAAGGGATTCGAAGCGGTGTACCACGGCAGCCTTGTGGCCATTCTCAAATCCGGAGCTCAGCTCCATGTCAACAACGAGCTTGACTGTGTCACTGTCCTGCGAGGCCCGATCAGCCCCGTTGATCTGAATGGCAGAGACTTTCTGGAAAGCCGTGTAAGCATCAGCAACATGGTAACTCAAGCATTTAAGGGTCTCTTTTCCCTCTCGTGCTGCTGTGAAGATGATGGTGGCTGGCTCCGTAGGGTTTGAAGCATTGAGATGTTTCTGGAGAAACTTACGTCCTCTCTGCCACAAGAAGGAACTCTGGCCTGGATATTTATCCTTTAATTGGCCAAAATGAACCAAAAAAGCCTCCAAAGCTGGATTTTTGGGCACTTGTTGGGCAGAAGAGAAACAGTAGCTACAAACATAAATTCCCAAAAGAAGGACTATAACCGGAACAAAGATAAAGCCTGTCAAAAATGAAAAAATAAAGACAAGACCATTTTACATAAGCCACAAATAAAGTCTGAGATAAAATGAGATAAAGACAGTGTCAGATTTTCACTGAATTGCAAATGTGGAAACCACTACCTCCTCTCATCCTATCTGAAGATGTTCTGACCACCCACCAGCTTCAATATCTAGAAATCTCTCTGGCTCCCCTCAGATTCCCAACTGGACTTGTGGTTTGCTTTAATCTTTAAACTACTTTTCTTTTATTTCCATAGAAATGCCTCCTATTTATTGCTTATACAATAGAGGCTGAACCTTGGACCCACACACAGGCCTCCAAAATCTAAATACAACTGGTCTTGTCTACTCTTAGGTCAAAGAGGCTGTTTTTTTAAAATAACCAAACTCAACTTCAACACTGCAGAACTTGCTGAAAAGTCCCAAAGGCAGTACTATTGGGGCTATCTGCCACCCTTAAATATGTCTTTAGCAAGAGGTTTGTTTCATGGGAGGGACTCTGACGGCTGGGTAAAAGTTGCTTTTAACTGTAAATGTGAGGATTTCTAGCAAGAAGACCTAATCTTTCTCACTTTAAGAAGAAGAAGGCATTCCTTTGTTCATTCCTTTGTTTTTAAAAAAAATTCCCTAACTGAGAATTCCTAATTCCGCCATTCTTCCTGGTTTAGCTAAGCTATTTAAGATGGCATCTAATGTTGGGGCTTTATCATGTATACAGGAGGCACACCTGTTATTAAACTTCTGTATAATTTTTTTAGCAACAACAACAAAAAGACAGATTTTTCTACTTGTGGTTTCTTTTGCCTAAAAGTGCATTAAACCTATTAAATCCTATACCTTTTCTTTAATTTCTTAGATTTAACTATCTGAATATACATTATCTTTATTAAAAGGTAAAAGCTAAGTTTATATATTAATTGCTGTAATAAATGATATGATTTAGGAATAAACTATCGGGATATTTTCTCCTTCTGAAAGTAATTACTATCTGTAACAGGTGATTTTTTTCCTAGTAGTCAAAATGTAAAAATGCCACCTGAGAAGTTTAATGCTCTCTACTCAAAAAGACAGTTTAGTTCCTGGTTTATAAAAAGTATTTCCTCCAATGGGAATTTTCATTTTGTTAAGGGCAGCAAAATATCAGCACCTGTAGGGAAAAATCCTGAAAAAGCTAAAGTTCTACTTTACTAATTCTCATTATCAAACACTTTTTTAAAAAACAGATTAATATGGCCCTCCCTGATGGCGCAGCAGATTAAAGCACAGCACTATTGAAATATGCTAGTTTTCCAGTGTGAAGATTTCTCAAAAAATTACAAATGGAAATACCATATGACCTAAAAACACTAACTTTAACAGATATCTGTAACTTCCTGTATTAACTGCACATTATTTACCATAGTTGAGATGCAGAAACAACTTAACCATTAACAGATGGATAAAGAAATGAGGTATAAACAAGTAACAGGTGGTCCCAGGAAAAGGTGAGGTTCCAGGTGCCCTACATCACTCATGGGAGGGTAGAGCTGAGCAGGAGAAGACGCTGGAGAGGAGACTGGAGAAGGAAGGAAGCAGGACGGAGAGCCGGAAGGAGGCCTGGGGGAGGCACATGGAGCCCAGAGATGTGTGAAGAAGCTACACTTGCTTTTTGGTCCTGTACTGGCTGAAAGAGGTATGGGTGAGCCACGGTCTCTCTCAGTGGCAGCGTTGTTCTTGACTTTGATTTTGCTCTTTTCCTTCCAGGTTTGTCTGGCTGTTTCTGACCCTTTTCTATGGGTCCCCGCCAGTAAGTGCTGTAACTTATGGTGGGCTTTGGGGCCTCAGAGGTGATGTTTTGCGCCAACCCTGTTTGGCTGGACATTAACCCACAAGGGGACGGGCAATTTTCTGTATTGCACACTAATTGTATTAAAGTTCCTTTCCACTGAAGGTCTTACACATTAGTGTATATTTTGTCTCAATGCAGCTGATGGTAGAACCTATCTAGAGCAAGCAGCTCTAAGGGCTTTGGGGTGCCCCTCTCCCTGTCCTGTGTGTACACAATGGAATACCACTCAGCTATTTAAAAAAAATGAAATTTTGCCATTTGTGATGACATGAATGGAAACTTTAGTAAAGAGTATTATGCTAGATGAAATAAGTCAAAAGGAGCAAGACATTTCACTTATAGGTAGAAGACAAAGCAACAAAACAAAACAAAGGCAAACTCTTAGATCAAAAGAATAAAGGGTGGTTAGCAAGGGAAGGGGAGAAGGAGCTGAGTACTGGGAAAGGGATTCAATTACATGGTAGTAGGTGAAAATTAAACTTTTGGTAGTGATCAAATGTAGTATATATGATGTTAGGTTATAGTGCCGTATACATGAAGCTTACATAATATTTTAAACAAATAAAGTTAAAGAACTGAAAAAACAAGAATTCAATTCTAAGCAGGGGGAAAAAAATCAAAATCTGCAATCTGCTAGTTTCCTAAGTATTTTCTCTGAGGATTTCTGAATATGAGTCACACCACAGTAAGACCAGTTTTGTTCTCACCGAACTGCAAAATATCCTTGGAATTCTTTCTTTTGGTAGCCTTTCCCTTCTCTTTGTTTTCTTCTAATTTTGGTATTTCTTGTTGATGACGCTCAGCTTCTAGAAAGGGAAAAAAAAAAACATTCTTTTTAGACCATGCACTAATGAGAGTGTGTGTATCTTTAGGACTTCCAGCAAATAAAAACCTGGGCATTTCTGTACTTTTTAAAATTTTCTTTATACAAAGCTATTTTCTTCCCTTTCTTTTCCTTAAGATGCACTGTTACTTTTATTTTACTTAGAAGAGTAAGTAAACTTTTAATAAATTCGCATATGGATACTGTTGCTGCATTTATCACTCTTCCCAGATCCTTCTATCGGGACAAAAAAATAAGCATCTTGATATTGCAACCAAACTGTCTAAAATGTGATTCAATTAAAAAAATAAGGGATTTGGCCCTCCCTGGTGGCGCAGCGGGTTAAAGCACAGCACTAAGAAGCTAAAGCCACTTCCGCATGAGTTCGATTCCCGCCTGCCCCGGAGGTGACCACATGGCGTTGCAGACCTCTCCTGACCCGCCCGCTGCTCCCCTCAGCAGTGTACTTCGTCGATCTGCCTGTTCTGCTCCCCACTCTGTCTCTGGCGAAGCCTCTCGCCGCCCCTGAGCCTCTGGCCTGTACCCCAGCTCTGTATGCACAAATAAATAAATCTTTAAAAAAAAAAAAAGGGATTTTAAGGAATGTCAGCTGCACACATGACTCAACATCATGGTAGGGCGGTGACTACTACAGCAAGCACCTGTCTCACGTGGCTCGAGACCCCCACCCCCGCAGACAGACAAAAGGGACACTGAGTCAGAGACAGCAGAGGCTCCTGAGCAGCTGCAAGGGGAGCACAGCACGTTGGAGACTTAGTGAAGGATACAGACACACAGCAGGGACAACAAAGTTAAGAAATTCATGAACTATTTAAAAATGGAGGTGTGGGGTGAGGCACTGATCCTAAAATGTGTCTGTGAGAAGGAGGCCAGTGTTTTCTAGCAACACAAAGCTAAATCTCTCTAGAGTGTAGGTGAATACTCCAGCCCAGGTACCTCAATAGTGAAAGCTGACTCCACCCAGAACACTACAAAAACAACTCAAATAGCACATTCTATTAACATAGAGAAGTAGAACTAGCTTCACCTAGAAACAATAGTTCATTTAGTCATTTCACATCCCCCAACAGATTTTTTTTTTTCTAAAGATTTATTTATTTGTGTATACAGAACTGGGGTACAGGCCAGAGGCTCAGGAGCGGCGAGAGGCTTCACCAGAGACAGAGCGGGGAACAGAACAGGCAGATCAACGAAGTACACTGCTGAGGGGAGCAGCGGGCGGGTCAGGAGAGGTCTGCCACACCATGTGGTCACCTCCGGGGCAGGCGGGAATCGAACTCATGCGGAGGCGGCTTTTAGATTCTCAGTGCTGTGCTTTAACCCGCTGCGCCACCAGGGAGGGCCCCCCCAACAGATTTTTTAATACATCACAGAATTTAAAGACAGATGTGATATTTAGAGATCACCTACTCCAGCCCAGCACCCTTACCTGTCCTGAGGAAAGGGGCAGGGAGGGATGTGAGGGCTTTGGCCAAGGGCACATAAAGAAATGTGGGCAAGCAGAGATTAAAAGGAGGCTTCTGTCTCCTACATTAGCTCATGACATTCTATTATGTTGCTTCATGCACAAAAGCTACATTTTTTTTTTCTTTTTTTTTTTTTTTTAAAGATTTGTTTATTTATTCATACAGAACTGGGGTACAGGCCAGAGATGCGGAGGGTGAGAGGATTCACCAGGGACAGAGTGGGGAGCAGAACAGGCAGATCGACGAAGTACACTGCTGAGGGGAGCAGCGGGCGGGTCAGGAGAGGTCTGCCACGCCATGTGGTCACCTCCAGGGCAAGCGGGGGTCGAACTCATGCGGAAGTGGCTTTAGCTTCTTAGTGCTGTGCTTTAACCCGCTGCGCCACTAGGGAGGGCCACAAAAGCAACATTTTTAAAAACAATTTCTTTCTTCTTCTATTCGGCAGGCCAGCATAATCTGATGGCAGGTTATGGCCCCCACAGATCACTTTCTTACATCTGAAGTTGTTTCCCTGTGCCAGGTGCCACAGAAACATAATAAATGAGGCAGTGTGTGTCTCTGCCTTCCTTGAGGTATAGACAATGCTAACGATGAATGCATAAAACCTGTATCAGATCAGTCACTGACTTAGAGTGAAACACGAATTTCCATGCCTTAGTCACCCCTGTCAACCAGAATGTATTCACTTATACTCCTTTGCACTGGCAATGGGCATTTTAGACTGAGTGCTTCAGAGAACTTAGAAAAACAAATCCACATAGACAATCATAGAAGGTAAATGCTAGAAGAGGCCATCAGAATATCATCTTGTCTACTTCTCCGCTCTACAAATAGGAAATGGGAGAACTTGCAGCTTAAGAGACTTAGCTCAAAGTCACCCAAGTTAGCAAGTGATAGAACCACAACTGAAAAACGTCTGTTAAGTTCCAGTTAAGACCTTAGCAAAGGCAATGATTTCCCTCATAAAGGAAGATAGCACATTTGTTCTCTTTAATATGCAAGTGGGTGAAATCAGGTCTAGAGAAATGAACTATTTTGCTCAAAATCCTATGTAACTGGAACATAGCGGCTGAGTTAAGGCTCCTTTAACATTGTTAAAGATAACAATGCTATCTATAACATGTTAATTTTTAAATCTGTCCATCACTTGATTTATTCTGATTAATAGCTTCCCAAATAATACCAATTTTTGAAATTATAAATCAGATTATGTTTGTAAGAAATAAACAACAGTGGTCAAATTTTTCAAAGACCTGCCCTTTTCTTTAATCATTCTGCATGAATACAAACAGTACATAAATAGAAACACTGTTTGAAAATGCAGCTGATGTGTGGGAAACAACCTGTAGTCTGGGAGACAAGATAACTAGAATTCTAATCTTAGCTTAGTCATCTCTCTCACTCATGGGTTTGGCCGAAAACCCTAAATCCTAGGAAGGGAAGAGAATTCTTCAAAGAAGCACCTGGACCTAAGCTGTGTTCTCAGTCACAGAGCAGTATAAGATGGGACAGGAGTCTGGTGGGTTCTCTCACCTGGTGCCAGCTGTCGCTTCCTCAGCTTGTCCTGGCTTTCCCACCCCACACTGGGATGGCCAGAACTCCAGGCCTCCTGGGCAGGTGATGCCTTGGGAACTCTGGGCTGACTGTCACTCACTTCTTCAGGGAGGGCTGCAGAGCTGCTCCCCAAGTGTTTGTCTGCTCTTTCCCCCTTGTCATTTGGAGAATGATAGGGTTCAGGATCCAGGTGTTCTTTAGTCAGATTTTCTGAAGTGAGGTGATGTCCTTGCTCTTTATCCTGAACATTCTGGTCCTCCTCATGTTCCGGTTTATCTTCTGAACATTGCCCGTTATTTGTTTCAGCTGGACTTTCTGAAGCATCACCTGTCTCTGCATCTCCTGGCCCCACAGTCTCTACATGTGGGTGATCTTCAGGAAGACCAGAGGCAGGGCTTGAGGCCTGCACTTCTTCAGTCGTACTCGCTGCGACTGTGGTCTCCTGTGATTGTGCATTTACTGATGACTCATTTTCCAAATCCTTTTGACAGTCTAGTGAGATAAAAATGTATAATTTTTACTTTAATAAATTTTCCTTTTTGTGTATTTAACAAGGTCCCTGATTAATAACTATACAGAATGAAATGGCTTAAAGGTATTCTGCCAATTTCTCTTGCCTCCCACTTAAAGGGACTAAAGTGAATTTATTATCATGTTAACAGATCCAACAAATAATACTAATGTAAAACTATTTTGAATGACAGAACCAACTTTGGTTCTACTAATACATCCTCTTCCCTAATGAAATAATGGATTTAGGCAATGATCATCAATGGCAACTAAAATGATTATGCAAATGGGTGAATCCATTATGAAATGATCAATTGATGACAACTGCTGTAGCCATTGATCAATCTTAACATCAAAAAAAAGGAAAACCAGACACCATTAACCTCCCAATTCAATGCAAGAGTAGTGTCCTATATCGCCTATGAAGTATTCTTGCCAAACAACTGAAACTCATCAAGCTCTAGAGTTGACCTACCAATGTCTAAGAAGTACACATTAAAAATTATGTTTCAAAAATGAAATCAACAAAATCCAGCAGGTGGGAAATCCCAAGAGGCTGAAAGACTTGTTTTATATAAGGGTAAAAAGTAAAATAAATGGCAAGAAAAGAAAAAAAAAGGGGGTGATTTATTAGGGACAGATCAACCAAGTCCAGTGTGTGGATCTATTGCTTATATCCAGTTTTGACCAACGCAATCATTAAAAAAATATTTATGAAAAACTTGAATGCCAGGTTGATGAGACTTATAAGGTATCTTTTTCATCTTTTTAGGTATGATGAAGGTACTGTGATGTTTTTAAAAAAATGAATACCTATCCTTTAGAGATAAGTATTCAAGTATTATTTGTTGCTAAAATTATGCCTGGAATTTGCTTCAAGCCTAAATGATATGGGGGAAAGGAGAAGTGGTGTATAGATGAAACACCATTAGCCTTATGTTGAAAGCAGACCAAGCTGTTTGTTGGGTAAGTGGAATTCATTTAATCTCTCTACTTCTATGTTTGGAATTTTCTGCAACAAAACTTAAAAAAAAAAGAGCAACATGTAAGCTATGTCAACTGAATTCAATGTGTGGCCAACTATAAACTATACAAAAAGCCCAACTGGTAAGAGAAAAAAAAATGAGATACCTGCAGATGTGAACACTAACTAGTATGTGATGCTACTAGGGACTAATCCTGAATTTATGTATAATGATGTTTTGGTTGTTTTTTTAAAAAATCTAGCTTTAACAGATGTAACTTCTTACAAATAAGATGTCTCAGATTTGCATGGAAGTAATTGAAGGCAGGTAACAAGATTAGCATTATGTAGGTAATGGCTGCAACTGGATACTGAGTGCATATAGGTTCATGACACTATTTTGCTTTCATGTCTTTTAAAACATCACAAATAAAATATTTAAGTATGCTTCCTCCCTTCTGAAAAATCTATTTCATATTTTCCCAATTTTATATCTCTTATCTAGACACATATAAACAAGATGAAGAATCTAAATTTCTTTCTTTTTTGCTATAATTGAAAGCCCCCTCTAAATATAATAATTTTTTAAAATATAACTCTAAAGTGTATGTACCATTTCCAACACTGTAGGTTTCTACTATAGTCTCCAAAACAATAATCTTCCTTATAAATTAGGGTCTGTTATTATGGCAAACTTCAGTAAATATGAAAGAATAATCATAATCAATTAGATTGTTTTACTTCAAAACATTACGTTTCAGTCATCAGAGAACATCTCTCAGCACAGCTCTAGTTTCCTACAGCACAAACCACAGTGCTGTACAAACTAGTCTTACCTAACTCTGGAGGATCCCTAAGTTCTTGGTCGGTCATGTTTGGGTTCTGTCTCTTCAGACTTTGGGATACTTTTTGTTAGTGTCTGGTTTTCCTTGTGAAGATGTCTTGTTTTCTTCTTGTCCCAAGTCCCAACAGACTCATGCTTCCCGTGGACCCCGGAAATAAGGCATAAATACAGTGACTAAAATAAAATGAAAAAAATTAAATGACTTTTAATTCATACAAGGGAGAAACGCCAATTTCAGTTTTAGTCGGTATATCTGCTTAGTCTTAGTAATATTCCCCTCTAAAACTTTTCTAGGGAAGAAAAATGTTTTCTGACATTTATAAGCATCATATTTTAAATTCTAAACTTTTACAAGTGGAAAAAAAAACCTAGTTATTAACTGCACAGATATCATAATCTCCTGGTATGTCCCATGTGGCTGAAAGCATAGAAAAAGTCAAGACCAAATGACCAGAATCTAAGAGAATTATTGTCAACATTAAAATAAAAAGTAACCAAGAGTAGAAATCTAAGTTTCTGCTGAGGTCATCATTGTAGATTTCCTTTGTCTTCAGTTTCTGTACCTTAGATGTTTCCAGAATTTGACTATCAGAAGCTTTCTCTTATCATTAGCAGGTAACAAAACACTGGGAGAGTAAGTGTAGGAAATACACGTTTGATACTTTGTCATTAGTGTCTCAGTGGTTTTCTCACAGTATTTCTTAGTAAAATGTGGAGGTCTCTTTATAAAAGGTCTTTTTATGGGATAAAAATCAAAGTAATTTATAAGCAATGAAAATGTAATAATATCATCTTTATAGTTAAATCTTTGTTAAAATCACTATCCAAATTCCTCAAACAGATAATGAACTATAATATAATTAAGGATTGCTATGGTTAAATATAATCGTGTATGTGAAGAGCCACTGTCAAATGATACTTTTTTTCAAAGATTTATTTATTTATGAGTACAAGAACTGGGGTACAGGCCAGAGGTGTGAGGGGTAAGAAGATTCACCAGAAACAGAATGGGGAGCAAAACAGGTAGATGTACTGAAATACACTGCTGAGGGGAGCAGTGGGTGGGTCAGGAGAGGTCTGCTGCACCATGTGGGTCACTTCCCTGGCCGGAGGTCAAACTCAAGCTGCAGTGGCTTTGGAGAGCTGTGCTTTAACCAGTTGTACCACCAAGGCTGGCCCCAAATGATACATTTTTGATATCTAGGTGAGAGGCTAAAAAGCTGTCCTTTGTGTCATTCTCACAGCACTCTTTTGTAAAATCAAATTTTAATCCCAAGTGCCTAGCAGTGACTGTGCACAGTAAGAACTCGGTATTTTAATTAAAAATGACGTGATTAAATGAGTAAATATGTATGAATGAATATCTGAGTAAGGAGTCTTCCAATTGTAAACTGGTAAGGATGGGAGGTGTTTATGGCAGAACTCTTCTGCCCGTGTGAACATTTAGAAACATGCTTTTAGACTTGAATGCCCTTTTTCTTTAAACTCCTGGGATGAGATTTCCAGTTCTCCTTTTCATTGTCATCACATTACAGTGAAGTTTTTCTCCTATCCTAGCTCATGTAGAGACAAAAAAAGAGAGACCCCTTATTTTCATAGTTCTTTTTTTAAAAGTTTTTTCCACCAGACCAACCAAGAAAACAATGGGAAGTTTCCTAGGCACCAGTACCAAAACTTTAGAAAGCAAATAATGCTATTATTACAGTAATTATAATGCACCTCCTAATGAAAGGGTACCTAGTAATAAAACTGAGACAGAAGTCTAGAGTGGGATGAAATGTATAGTATGCAAATCATGCCTCAATACAGTTGGTTAAAAAAAAGCTTTCTTTGGAGAGAAAAGTATAAAACTTTATTGAAAGACACTACAAAGACAGCAGAGATATCAAATGTATATCCAGTAAGACTCAAAACCAATGAGGCTAAATCTTTCTAAATTGATTTGTAAATTCATTACAATTTAAAACAAATCCCAAGATAGTTTTTTGATTGTTGTTTGTTTTTTACAGCATCGACAGCTGATCCTAAAATACACAAAGAGCAATAAAATTTTAAGTCAAGATAATTCTGAAAATATCTATTAACATACATAACTGTGATTAAGAGAGGGGAAAATCGTTACCAGACATATCAAGACTTATCATGAACTTACAGTAATAAACAGGGCATTGGTGCAAAACAAACACTATTCAGAATAGAGTTACAAAATATAAGCATCTATGTAAAGAGAAGTAACAAAAAGGAAAGAAAGGAGAGTAGTTTGGGGAACAGCAGGCTATTCAAATGGTGGCAAATTAGCTTTCTACTTCCCTCCTGACCCAGAAATCAATTCCAGATTAAAGATTTAAATGCAAAGAGCATTCTGAAACAAAGAAGAAAATACCAAATACTTTTTATAATTTTGTATTTCTTTAAAAAATGGGAAATAAACCAGAAGGGAGTTTGACAAATGACAAGTTTCTATACAAGGCATCAAAACCAAAATTAAAAAGTAAAATCACTCACTAGAAAAATACTAGCAGCATATACATTGGGCAGAGTTCATATCCAGAATACAGATTCCCATGAAATCAGTGAGACAAATAATGCCTTAAAAAATGGGCACAGAGGGCCCTCCCTGGTGGCGCAGCGGGTTAAAGCGCAGCACTGAGAATCTGAAGCCACTTCCGCATGAGTTCGATTCCCGCCTGCCGCCTGCCCCGGAGGAGACCACATGGCGAGCCAGATCTCTCCTGACCCGCCAGCTGCTTCCCTCAGCAGTGTACTTCGTCAATCTGCCTGTTCTGCTCCCCACTCTGTCTCTGGTGAAGCCTCTCACCGCCCCTGAGCCTCTGGCCTGTACCCCAGTTCTGTGTGAATAAATCTTTAAAAAAAAAAAAAAAAAAAAATGGGCACAGAGATAAAAAAGCCATTAAAGAGAGGAAACCTTCGAGTCTTAATGAATCTGTAAAAGGAGTGAAAGAAATGCAAACTAAATTTCTAAGACAAAATAACACTTCACAACCATCAGCTTGGCAAAAAAGTAAGCCAGGCAATATCAAGTGCTGGTGAGGATTTAGAGATATAAAGAGCTCTTAAATCCTTCTGGCAATAAGGTAAACTGTTACTAAAACTTTGAAGAGCAGTAAGGCCAGACAAAACATACATATTCTATGAATTGGTAGTTCTGCTTTTAGATATACACCAGAAACTGGCACAAGTGCATAGAAATCTGGCAATGGCACTGTTTAAAATGAGGAAAAATCTAAGCTCTCCCTGGTGGCACAACCGGTTAAAGCGTAGCACTGTAAGCTAGCCGCAGCCACTTCAGTGAGTTCCATACTCTGTCCCAAAGGTGATCCACATGGAGTGGCAGACTTCTCCTGTCTTGCCAGCTGCTCCCCTCAGCAGTGTGCTTAATCTGCCTGTTTCTGTTCCCCCGTTTGTCTCTGGTGAATCTTGTCAAAGCCCCTGCACTTCTGGCCTGTCCCGGTTCTGTATGCATAAATAAATCAATTTTTTTTAAATGAGGTAAAATCTAAATGTCTATAAAAAAAGATGAGGACTAAAATATTGTGTGGCATGTTCTTCCAGTGTAATATTGCAATTAATGAATTACAGACCTCAACAAGTTGTAAGATGACTATCATAGCATTGCTGTAAGATTTAAGAAACAGAACAACATTCAAAGAGAATGGGGAAAAAATGAACCCACTACTGATGCAAATGATAGAATCTAAAAAATGAAAAGAAGCCACACATGAGAACATAAATGACTCTTTGCTTCTGACCCACTGTGATACACATCAGTGGTTACAGGGTGAAAGAGCACTGACTAAAAAAGGGGTCAGAACCTGTACAGGTAAAGTGTGTCATATCTTCACAGAAGTGGTGATTATATTTATCATCAAACTTAAAATGTGCTTATTTCACTGTATGTAGAATATCCTTTATTAAAGGATATTAAATACACTTTATTTCAAACAGAGCTGAATGCTTTCAAAAATATATTACTTGGTAATTAAGTTGCAGCAAGAAACCAAGCCTACAAAAGAACCATCATGGCTATTTTTGTAAGCTTGCAAATGCTCGGTATGCATCTTTCTTGTCACAAGGCACGTTACTCCTGTAGCCCAGTTCATCCAGATCCTCCGAAACATATCACACTGTAAGTGAAATGGATTTCGCTCAGGTTGCAAGGAAGAAATGGCACAAATGGAGAGGTTCCGGGCATCTCCTCAGAAGGAGTCAGATGGTGGGTAGCTGGGAGATCTGGGGTCGCCATGGCAAAGGCAGGACAATCTTTTCAAGGGCCTCATCCAAATGGTAATTGAGGTTGTTCTGCAGCTTTATATAGGAAAAACCATCCCTAAGCGTGTCCAAAAACACATACCTAGGATGCTATCTTTGGCAAAAAGAAACTGTAGACGACCTGGGGGTCCATATGACATAAAAAATATTAATTAACTTTTCATAGTTCAGTGCCCATTATGACTGAGTTTACATTTAAATGAAACTTAACTCACTGGCAGCAGTTATGTCCACTCCCTGTGACCCTGAAATCTGCAGTAAAACTTGTATCACTTTGCTTTGCCTCTGCAAGTCCAGGTTAAAGCTGTGAGTTTTTATTTTCCGTGAATGTGGGCTGTAGTAAATGGTAGGCTGTGGGATACTTCTCTAAAGAGGGACACAAAGTTGCCTTGCTGCTTCCTCTGTCAAAGTGGCTCCCCAGTGTCTGACTCTTTACGATGTACCCCTTCTGCTCCATCTCACCACACCGAGGGACAGTGTTCTGACAGCCCCATCGGTTTCATCGTCTTGTACATTAAATGACCTTTGCACAGCAGTCATACAACCCACTTTAGCACAAGCCAACATGCAAAATTAATGCTGTGAAGGTAACTCTGAAATCGATGCTCACATGCATACATATAAATTTACAGAGAAATAAAGTTTTGAAAGTGTTTAATTCTTTTTTTACTGCACAACATTTTTAAATACAGATAAAATTAAAAAATTAAACACACAAGCAGAAAGGATACGCATCAACTTCCATTCAGTGCTTGCTTCTGCAGAGGGAAGGCAGAACTCGGATAGGAACAAGAGTGGATTTCAACACTATGTTAAAGTCTCTTCAAAAAGACAACTAAGGTAAATGTGGCAAAATATTAATGAATTTTAGATCTGGCCATGTAAATTAATGTTTTTTTTCCTGCACTTTTTTACCTATTTGATGTAGCTAACAATTTAAAAAAATGAATAATAAAGTAAATTAGCTTCTGTAGGGACAAGTAAGCCTGAAAAGAAAAGGCCTGTAATGGTCTCTTTAAACCCACAATGAACTTGTATTCCAGAGGAACACAACAACCACAGCCTCCCCTACATTCTGTCACAGCTGGTTGAAAGCAGAACAAGGAAAAGTTGCCTGTGGGAACAAAATTAGGGTTCAGAGAGTAAGACTTCACACAACTTTCATGCCATCCTGAAACTTCTAGTCCTGTCATGAGAATCATGCAAGAGGAGGGGCGGAAGGAGACAGTGACCTGGAGGAGACTCGGAAAGAAGTGTCAGGAAGCTCTAGTAATTGGTAACACTGAGATACAAACTTAAAAGAATAATAAAGGTGAGGGAAATCAGATATTTAGTAATTATGAAGGACAAGAGAGAATCAATCAACCCAGGACCAAAATTAGATCTGAATTTGCCATGACAAACGTAGACCAGTCAGTGTTCAGTGAACATGAATTTTTAAACACTTAAGAGACTGATATCATTTTAAGTTCTAGGTGTTAAGTCACAGCTCTCAATTTATAATCCAGCTATGAAGACAAACAACATATAAAACATATACAATAACTAACATTTACTGAATGTCTTCTTTGTTCCAGGCAGCCTTCAAAGCACTTCATAGTAACTCATTTAATTTTCACAGCCACCATGATGGATGGATAGTCCATTAACAATGTGTGATGTATGTACAGTTACACTACTTTAAAGATGAGGAAACTGATGCAAAGTTTTAAGAACCTTACATAAGAACACACAAATATTAATGGTAGAGTCAGGATCTGAACGTAGGTTGTCTGGTTGTAGGACTGAGTCGTTAAATCATGACATTAAAAAAGTATACAGTCACGTATAATGCACAAAGCACCCCGATTTCTTTGAACTGTGACGCTGGCACACGTGACCTTCATTTTTTCTCAAACTGCTTATGAGTGTTGTGCAGTGTTGGATAGCATAGTAAATCATACAACAATTACAGCCACCATAATCATGATTATAAGTGGGTCTAAAACATGTGATGTGGACCTACATGTTTCCAATTATTCAGGGAACAATATCCATCATTAACACCCTCCTCAGAAACAATACATCCAAGTAAATTTTTACTTCAGGAACTTCAGAGTTCTTAACCAAGGGATAATGATAAACTAACTAGTCTTCACTCAGTTCAGCAGTCCACACAGTTTATTCAGCAATATACAGGAGAGAATTTCCATCATGACAGACATAAGGCAGATACAGGGTAGATTTGGGAGGTACATTCTTTACATAGACTAACAAGTAACTTTTTTAGGTTTTACAACATTTGGCAGTCATGACTTGTTGCATACCAGCAGCCATTCATTCCTCACATCTTCCTTTCTAAAGAGCCCTGATTTTACTGGGGGAAGCATTGTTCCAACCCTTTGTCCCTTGGCTGGGCTTCCCAGACTCCTCTGTGAACCAGTACCTTCTTTGTAAGAAGAAATTAGTGAGAGACTTTTGAGAACAATTTCCTTCCTGAACAAGAGACTAAAAGGGAGACAGCTTTTGCTTCCTATTTCTAGTCTTTGACTGGGATTCACATGTCTGGAATGGCAACAAGTCATACTGCTTGTTAAGGAAAAACAGTCAACAAGATAAGGATCCCAGCAGGGAAAAGAAAAAAGCTGGGATCTTGAAAACACTGCTGAGTTGCTATGTAGCGAAGATTATCTAGCATCTTAAATGGAATTTTAAAATTGTTCAGTGGCCTTTGGGATGTTTTCAACAGTTTCCCCCTAAGTTTTGTAACCGAAACTCTGATTCTCACAAGCCTATGGTGGCCACAACGTGGGCATGTCCAGCACAACCTTCTGCCCAGTTCTGGGAAAGAATGCTGCCCTTAGATTGTCAGTAACATATACAGTCAAGCCTGCTAATGCCTTTGTCATTGCTCTCATCGTACAGGTATTTTTCAACTTTCAGGGAAGATGTTCTAAGTTGAGTCATCAAAAAGACAGAGTGCTCTTTGCTTCTGGAGAGCCAACTAAGTGTAGGGCAGTAGCAGCTCTGCATGTTCCTGTGAGATGTATGTAGATAGTGCCTGAAAAAGTGTGATTTCTCTGACAGTGACCAGAGACCAATAACATCACTGACACATTAAGGATGGGTCAAACAGAGTCAGTGAAAAGTAAGTGGTTACATATGAATAAACTACATATACCATTATCACTGTCTAGTGCAGAAGAATTTGTAACAATGTAGTTTCTTATTAAAGTGTCTAGTTGCTTTACTAGAATAATCTAGAATCCAGCTATAACAAGGATGCTTTTCCAGAGAAGTTATCACTAGAAATACCATTACAGAGCACCGAGTATGGGCCCTCTTCTCCATGACTATCTTACCATGTATTCTAATTAGGCTGTGAGCTTTTTAGAAAGGGTAAACTAATTCCAAAACATAGGGAACATGGATTAATCTGGTTCAGATGAACAGTTTGGCTGGAATACTGAAGTTAAATTCAAGGCAAACAAAATGTGCATAGACCACAGAAACTGATTCAACAATTTAGGCAGTTACCCAAAGTAGTGACAGTCTTATCAGGCTTAGCAAACAATCATTTTTCCATCTTCCTTGAGCTTCTAATACAAAACACTCTAGTGTCCCCATGATTTTGAGTGTTTTAAGAGTTATTTGTTTTGGCCAAGCTTTTTGTTTAAGGTTTTGTCTGTTCTGGTCAATATTAACTGCAATGCAGGGTTAAAACCAGCTACTCTAGAGTCATGTATCCTTTTTCTAACGAGTGGAGGACCCAGAAGAAATGGATGGCAGGCTTTTTCAAAAGTCCACCTGGTGAGATTTTGGGGTGCCCATTCAAGTGGGAAAGACCATGGAAGAACAAGGCTTCTATTAGCAGGATTGTCAGGATAACATTCAGGGCAATAATCAGCCCTGTTAATACGGTCTAAGAATACTTGGTAACATTCATTTTCAACAAGTTCAGTTTGGTATAACCAGTGGCCTAGTTCTAAACTAGGGAACCACTGTTGTCCACAGTCAGGACAATGTGAATTATCTGCAAACATCTGGGCCTAAAAAGACAACACAGAGAGTAATGTAACAGAAAAAGACAACAATGACAAAGAGAGACACCCAAATAATCAGTCCTATTACAGGTTTGGCTTAGCAATTTCTCAGTCCAACCAACATAATCTGGAGAGGGTTAGCTTTGGTTTGCACCTCTGTGCAAATCTTCAAGATTTCGTTGTCTATATGTCACTCACTTGCAACTCAGTCTCTGAACTCAGGGACCAATCCAGTCTACAATGTTATCAGCCACTTACTAGCAGCACAGATCTCAGAACAGCTCCTCCAAAGCCCAGCTTCTCAAGGAAAGGTAGGGCTCTATTCTAAATTAGTTACTTTTTCCTTGTATGTTATCAGCTGGTGGTGTCATGCAGAGGCACTGGGCTTCTCTGCTCTGCTGGTCAGTTATTCTATCTGCTTGGTGAGCAGAGGAGCTGAGAGGTCCACAGTGTCTTTTTGTTGGCGCTGGCACTCTTGCCGTTGTAATACACGTACCCACGTTCTCAGGCCTTGGCACTTCACAGCGACGTGGGGGCGGGGCCCAGGGAAACCTGGAGGTGTCCTCTTGAGCGTGGATCCAGTGAAGTCTTTCCTGGGAGAATCTTAATCAGGATCCAATTACAGAGAAGTAGCTGATGCTGAGTTGGCTGGAGGGTCTGGGAATGCTTCACATACCTGTAAATGATAAAACTTCAGACCACTCACACGGGCTTTGCAGTTGCTCACATTATTATTAGAAACATGCATCTGGAAATCACTTAGGTCAGTCAAGGTTTCCCCATGACAATTTTATATGAGTTTAAACCAATTTAAAATGAAGTTTCTTTATGACTAATTTTTACACTTCTTCTGTGCTTGATTTTTTTAGGATTATATTTCTTTTGTTCTATCCTTTCGCACTGTCACCATGTTTATTTAACCTTTGAGTTTTCTCATATTTATGAAATGGGTGCTATATGTGGTATTCCCATCATGTGTGGTGTAATATTAACCACCTCAAAGCCTCTCCATAAGACTTCAATCCAACCAGGATAAAGCTAACAAAATTATTAGTTACTATTCTTAATGGCTAACCATGGGAAGCTGGATAAATCTTTTTTGAAGGCTGATAACAAAACAAAAAGGGCAAGTGTCAACACCCACCTCTACCTTATAAACATTTTTTGCACATTATTAAGTCTAAGAAGTAAAGCATCATCCTAAGCAACAGCTTGGGTTATATTCTTGGAGTATATATAATAAATTTGGTAGAATTAGCTATCAGTCCAGTACTCCTCAGGACTGAGAATGTAACAAGTAAACAAAGTAGGGCATTAGCCTATCTGGAACTAGAGCCAGGAGGGAATGTTACAGATAGGGGAGTAGTACCCTGCCTCCCTCCAGTGTTCTTTTTGTAAATTCTGACACATGATCACATGAAAGCACTAAGGGAGGGGGGGGATGAGTGTACAAAGATATGACCACTGAAGTAGAAGGGTTTACAGTCCTACCAGCAGGGGTAGTCAGTCACAGATGAGCAAAAATAACTAAGTCTCAATTTGAAAATGGTAAGTTTATAAAGCAAACAGAAGAGCTTCTAAAAGTATAGCAACATGGGGCCTAAATTTAGCAGGAGCCCCAAACAAAGTGAGATAGTCAGTGTAGCTATACTGATGTGTTTACTGAGGCTAGGTAATAATGTGTGGGTTATGGGCTAGTAATGCAGCTGGGGGTGGGGGGGGGCGCAGAATGAACAGAAGGTACAGTGCCAGATTCAATGACCTTGACATAAAACATAACAGATTTCCCTAAGGGCCTACTAAGAAGAGACACCCCAAGATAAAAGTATCAGTTTGTGGAACTGGTAATCATAGAAGCATAATCATGGAACAGCGGACAAATAAAATCCACTTGATCATGGGGTTTAACATAGAAGTTAGTAATAAATGTGAATACGCCTGACACTAATTAAGAAATTGGTATTTTTAGAGTGAAATAGGGGAAATTAATTAAAACCACAAAAAGATACTATTTCACATCCACCAGACTGGCAAAAACTAGTTTGGTAACAGGAGCACTACACATAGGCAAACTTACCTCTCTCTCCCAGGACTCCACAGCTCCACCAGCAGGATCGAGAGGAGGCCCTAAAGCTCCAAATGCTCAGGAAAACAAAAAAAAAATCCAATCCCCCCAGCTTTCTTTTCCTTCAACTTCAAGAGTCAAATAAGCACCAGAGCTCCAAGATATCCTACATCAGAACTCTACTCCACATGTTCCAGGTACGCCTAGCCTTCTCCCCCAGCCCTCCAAATCACTATGGCCAGCCCCAAAGCACTCCGTGCTCTGAATAAACCACCGGTTGCCAGCCTCCTGGCTCATTCCTTTACTCTTACCACTACCGGAAGAGCAGGAATGGAGGCTCCAAAAGAATGCTGCTGGCAAGATTCCCAAACTCTCCCTCCCCCACTTGTTTAAATCCTTCACTTTATGAAGCCCAGGACCTCCAGGTTATACTTCAACCCAGTCTTTAATCCCATGTGGTTCTGGGAGCAGTGAGCTAACAGTCCCTCCCTTTGCTTTTTTCCCCTCATAAAATATGTACCATTTTTGATATATTAAGTATTTTAGCTATTTACATATATGAAAACATATCTATCATATATTTTATATTATACATTATATATACAATATATTATGCATTGTCTTAATGTAAATATATAATATAGGGTATATTTTATAATATATTTGCATTATATATATATTACGTTTTATATATGTATGTATGTATGTATATATATATAAATTCCCCCCCCCCCAGGAACAGGACTTTTTGTCATCTTGTTTACTGCTATACATGTCTAGTAAACATTTCCTACAGAGTAAGTAACAATAACGACAGATTTGAATCTTTAGCCCCTTTAAACAGGAACATAAATTAGTTAAACCACTTTGGGAATTAACTTGGCACTATCTAGTAAAGCTGAACAAATGCACTGTCTATAACTCAGTAGTTCTACTTTTAGATATATACCCTAGAAGAATCTGTATATGTGCATTTAAAAACATGAATAAAAATTCATAGCACTGTAACAGGAAAACAGGCAAATATCCACGAGCCATAGAATGTGTAAAAAAACTGAGGGATTGCCATAGGATGGTATGTTGTACATACAGACGTTAAGTGAAACTGAAAAATTATAATATTGAGCCAAAAATAAAAAGTAGATGCATGTATATTCTTATTCACCCTCACATTTATAGTTTACATTTACATAAAGTTTTGATATGGTGTTTAAGAAAATTAATAAAACTAAGAGATAAACAGATGATAAAATGAGATTAGGGAGGGGATACTCATTTTAAATCATATGATAAATTTCTTTAACTGGGAGGGGATAGTATAAGAATTTTCACTAGATATATATATATCTCACAACTCCTAACAGATTATATAATCTCTAAAACAATTAAAAGAATTGAATTAAAAGAACAATGGTCTAGAAAAAGAGATTAATAGACAACCAAACAGTGTACACTGTGACTAAGGAGTTACTCTGCTCAGCAACAAAGCAGGTGACTGATACAGAAAAGAAGAGTTCTATAGCACCCGGATATCTTTTTCTCATAAAATTTTGAACAACTCCACAGAATATGAGGAAGGAGGTCTGCCTAATGCTGCAGTTGAATAAGGAAGTTCTTCTCGAGATACTTCCATGAAGGCATGTATCTGTGTGCCAGGGGTATTGTGAAAACTGGAGACACCCTTACTCCATGCAAGAGGCAACTGAGAGAACCTTACCTAGCCAGGTAGGTATTCGACAGCAACCCTCTGTGGGACAATAATAACAGAGTGCCACTCGCTTTATCTGTATTAATTGACATAATCCTTACAATAAAGTCACACAGGTCATGGAGAAACAGCAGTGTAGGGAAATCTGTATTTAATCCTAGCGGGCTGATTCTGGAGCTTTTACTTTTAGCCATTATAAGATACTGGCTTTCTGAAGCAGTGACAGCAACAGATTTGAAAAGCCCTGTCATAAACTGTTTACAAAGCTAGAGTACACTATTTGATTGTGTGAATTCAAATACTGGGATAGAAAGAAATTAATTTTCATGATCTACTCCCACACAGAAAGAGCTAAGTTTCAGGGATTCCTGAATCCTCTAAAATTAGGAAATGTATAATATAATTAAAAATTTTAAATGCATGTTTCTTTCTGGAAAGAGAATACATATTTTTAAACTCCCAAGAAATGTGAAATAGTTTAAAACCATTATGCATTAATAGATCCTAATGATTTTACAATCAAAAACAACTTTTATTGCTAACCATCCTCCAGCCTCATTTTGGAAATCTGTCAAAAGAACCTGCATTCTTAAATTTTCATTTTCTCATTTTTATTAGACACATATATCTGCTAATCAGAATGCCTAAGAAAAATAGTGTCACAAGCTTTGGTTTAGAAACTCCCAATATTCTGAATTACAAATTATTTTCAAAATGCCTGCATCTTCATGTTGGAAAAATACAGGCATTCTGGATTTGCTTCCCTTCTCAACCCTATTAGCTTAAGTGAAAAGCCGCAGTGTAGGTAAACATTATCATTAGGCTTCAGAAATGTTGAAAACACTCTGAGAACCACCATTTTCTACTGACTTTTAAATAGAATTACTTTGGTTACTGAGGAACCTTATACTAGGTCCAATGCTAAATACTATGGATCTAGGTAGAAAAACTTATAGGACTTCTACACGTCCAGGGGATCCAAACTAGTACCAGTACTTTAAGTAAAGGTCAGGGACAATTAAGACAGATATAAAAAGATCACCTGAAAAACATAGGAAATCAAGAAGGCCCAGAAAAGAACCTGAAATGTCTGTATTTTCAAACAAGCCTTCTAACCAAAAACTGAGCAAAAGACAAAGTTTAAAGAGCTGTTTTAACTACACAAATGCCATATAAAAAGAAAAATAAGGGTTTCTTTTGGTTTTTGAGAGAATTAAGGTTAAGATTCTTCCTGAAACTTCATTAGAAAATTTAGAAATATAACACCAAAACAGAAAGTACAATTCTATTTAATGAAATTTATGTCTACTAGCATTTATTACATATTAAAATTTTTCTCTATGTATTCTGATTCCATTTCACTCTTTGATATTTCCTAAATGTGTTTTAGTAAACAAGCTCAAGCCTGTCTTTGATAAGACAAAATTTCCTCATCCATTTTAGTGGTAAGATAACTGAATTTCAGATTGTGTCATGACTGGAGAGAATTTTCCAGTACATTTATCTGTTAGACTTCAGTCTTAGCCAACTCTTCATTAGATAGATAAAATCAAAAGTCACACAGAAAAAACAAATGCTTTAAACCTTTTTGAGTCACCATTTAAAATATTTTCTTCCCCAGGGTTTTATAATGTTAATCAATAATAAAACTATTTTTTATAAGAGATAGTTTCTCTGATAAGAGCTTCATACTGAAGTTACATACTAGTCCTGCATTTAGATGATTAAAGAGTATCAAAAAAAGGAATCACTCTTCTTTTGAATTTATATAACCTAAAATAACTCTTTGCTAAAAGTAGACTGAAACTAAATATTCCTGAAAAAAGTGCTCAGCATATTTCGATGAGGAACTACTATTAATTTGGAAAAGTCTTGAGATCACTGAGAGATGGCACAAGGATGACAATCTTCAGCACCAGTTAGCACACACAGTGTTCCCTCTTAGGAACAGATAAGCTAAGGAAAAATATGATCCTGAGTTAGAAAACAGCTGCAAAATGTTCTCTCACCCCAGGAACTGACAAGCAAAACAGGTGTGTGTGTGCACTGCCAGCATACATGAAGGGGACAACTGGTCTAGAAATTTATTGGTACATTTCCATCTGCCCTGCCCTAATGAACTCAAAGTGCAAGGTTCAAATTCTGTCTACAATTTCAACTTAAAGGTTAATAGGTAGCTTTCAATAGTGCAATATAGTGTTCGCTTAGTTATTTCTATACTTGTACCGGTTGTCTGTGCCTGTGTTTAAAACTCAATTTCTCAGGCCTGCCCACTCCTCTATACCATGGCCACTGTCACAATATACTAGTATTATTATTTTCGTAATTTCCTACTATTTCCCACTATTTTAATGAATCCGTGCTCATTTCATATTTTTGAAAGGGAGTATGAGTACTATAAAACTAGGACCTAAAACAAAGCATTGCACACATGAAACTTACTGTTACCCAGTGAGAAAAGAAAGTACTTCAATTACTTCCTTGGGAAGCTATTGTTTTACATTTTTACATAGGGGCAGCTACTTACAAATATTAATACATCGGCACTTTTCAAAAAAAAAAAGTCCTAGTTTCTTTGATCAAAGGACAGTGTTTAAAAAAAACAAGATCTAGGTGCTCATTGCTGCTGGGTTTCATAGTCAAGCTAACAACCTGACAACCACCACCAATATTTGCTCCCTTACAAGACTCATTACCTGGCAATCATTTGCATGACATGGGAACTTATCAGAAGAGCAAATTTTCGGGGTCCAAGCGCAGTCTTACTAGAACATGCCCTGTGGGTCTGACAGGAATTTTTGTTTAACAGATGATCCTGATTCTCTATAAAATTTAAGAAGTACTGCTGCAAATAAGAAAAGTTTGTTTCCTTCAGCCTTCACTATGAACCCTAAGTTTACTGTTATTAACCTCTAATAAAAAGGGAAAATTTAACCTTAATAACTTGTGCATAAATCATATTTTTACTACCACAAACAACAACATTTCCTTGTTCTTAATTGTTTTCCTATAATGTACTTTTTAGCTTGGTGGTCACAGTAGTTCAAAAGTATAAACACTATTGCTTATTTATACAAAGAAGTTGTAATAAGTTGGCCTCTAGGATGACCCCTACGTAAGGTGTAACAGCCAAATACATAGAGTGGATCTGCAAACATAAAACCCTTGCAACACTGTCCTCTGAAGGCAAACTGCCCAGCCTCAAGAAGCTCAACACCACCCCGTGAACTCCTCTTGGGCTTGATCTTAACCACAAAACAGAATAATCCCATCTACACAACAGGAGGTATGAAGGGTTAAATAAATAACGAGGCCCACTAACCACAATAGGTGCACAAAAGACCTCATAAACTGTTAATTCCTATCAAATAAAAATACAACTAGAGATTGTATTTTTTGGGATGTGAAGACTGTACTAAAGAAAAGCTCTGTTTTTTCAATAGTAGAACAGAATCATTTATATGTATATAAATTACATCACATATAATTTATAGTACCTATAGTTTATATAAATTATATTACAGTCATATAATTTATATGATTAAAACAAAATCCTCAGAAGTTAACAAACCAATGTTTTAAATTTGACTTTTTGCAGAAATGTTAAATTTACATGGAATAACGTGTATACCTATGGATAGGGCTAACCGAGAGTAAAATGAAAAGTTGATCTGCTGACTTAGTGGAATATATGAATTTTCTTTATCCTTATTTTGACTACCAAAATCACATGTCAAAACTTTACTATCTGTAAAGAGGAAGTAGCCCAATTAGTAATAACAGTTTCCATTTAATGAGTCCTTAAACTGATCCATTTACTATTGTAATTAACCCTAAGAAATTCTACTTAACAGATGAGGAAATGCTCAGAATGATTAAGCAACCTGATCAAGTCTCACAACAGAAAAGGAATTTAAACTTGCTCTGTCTCTATCCTATTTTCTTTACAAGTGTTTGGTTTTTCGCGCAAAATTTATGGTAATATATAACCACAACAATGAATTCTCTTGTGGAGCACAGTTCTGTCTCAAAGTAATAAAAGTAGAGATCTCTCTGAACAAATTTTCCTTCAGGAAATTTAACTGGCAGTTCAGAGAAATGTGACTTTCCATGGAATGTAGTTCAAAAAAATTTACAGGCAAAAACATATACAAGTTGAAATAGATTATTAAGTACACAACAATCCTCAAATTGGCTAAATTATTTATAAATTACTGTGTGCATTACAGAAGCTCTCAAACTAGTATTACCTCTCAACTAAGAGGGGAAATAAGTGAAACAGAACTTAAGTGAGTCATTCAAGATTATGTGATGAATCAGCAGCAAAACTGGTAACCAGTTAGTGGGCTCTGCACCCAGCATAACGAATATTACTAAGGAAAGGCTCTCACTTAAAGTGTTCATAGAAATGTAAATTTTCCAAACTGTTCTAATCTACACAAAGACACAAAGATTCCCAAGACCAGTGTTTAGTACTCTACCACGAAGTTCCTTTTTTCGTTAAAATTATTTTCAATCGATCATTCGTAAACTAATAAAGTGCTTAAAAAATAAAACTGATTAATACAGACATTTGCCATAATCCTAAATCTTCAGAAAAAGAGATTTTTGTATAGATATAGAGACCAAAGTTGTTTTAAAATCCAAAGACTGTAAATACGAAACAGAAAATTTATCTAATCAGATTAAGAGAACTCATTTCTACTCCCGTGTATAAAGTCCAACAAGTAAGCACTGCAGAGTGAAGAGTACTACGTACATCCCCTTTCTTAAAGAAAAAAGGGTACACTTTCATGAGACATTTAGTATAACTGGGAGAATATAACATGCAAGCAAAATAGTAACTGCAGGATCTTACTAACTTCTAACTTACGCTTTTCAAAAGCACCCGAAGGTTAAGGAAGGGGGACTTACTACCTTATAGGAATTAACAGGACGAAGCATGGGATTCTTGCTTGGCAGGGAGGTCGAGTACTCCCACCTGCACTGGAGGTGAGATTTCCCGTTTACATTTTGAACCATACACATACTTCTTCTCGCCTCAAAGTCCAAGGCAAACACGCATTCCCCCTCCCACCCCTTTTATTCTGTTTTAAAGTCAATAAGGTTCTCTTTTCTTTTTACTCCAAACAAAAGTAACACCCGTAACCCACCCCCTTTAAGGCTTTTGCAGTTTAAGAAAAAAAAAAATGGGGGTGGGGAAAGATTTTTTTTAATCAATCTTCTTTTCGAAAGAAGATAGATAAAATATTAAAACATGGAAAAGTTGCATATACATTTAGTTTACTTACAAATTCCAGCGGGGATTCCAATCGTTTAGTCAGTCTCAGGGGAACTCTTCGGGTGTCCTCCCGGCTCCACAACCCGGCGACACCCCTCGGCGGCGGCCGAACCCTGCGTCTGCGACCCTGCCCACGTGACAGGACTTTGGGCGGAGGGAGGCGCCCACGGAATGCTGGGGCTGGTAGTCGCCTGCGCTCTCCTCCCCACCCGCCGTCTCCGCTCCCTCCCGTCCCTAGGCGTGGCGAGCATGCGCAACGGAGCCGCCCGAAACTCCCTCCTAGTGGCGAGTGCAGGCCTGCGTTTCGGCAGGACTAGAACGACCTGACCCAGGCGTTCCTCCAAATACCATTAACCAAAACACTTTTGATTTTTATCTGACTCCTTTGGATAATAAGCCCCCAAGATGGCAGGAAGAGCTGTCATTTAAGTCTATTCGTGCTATATGTATTTCCAAAAGTTAGACCAGGGTCTGGCTAGTCCATACCCCAATCTCATCATTTAGAGGATTTAATGATCCTTCATGTAAACATGATTGGATTTTTTGGCAGAAGTGACAGGATTTGGAAACACAATTTGGTGCTTAATAATTGACTACCATATCCAACTCATCAAAGAATATATTTCAGTCACCACGGAGTTTTAATTTCCATTTAACTTTTCTTGCAAACCATTTTGCATTAAAAACATCTTTTCCTAGATCATGCTTAGTGAGATAAGCCAGAAAGAGAAAGAAAAATACCGGATGGTTTCACTCATAGCAGGAGTATAATGGACCAGGCGAGAAAATAACAAAAATAATGAACAACCATATACCAGAGACATTCTGTGGGGGTGGAGTGGGGAATGGGATCAAAAACCGAGGTGGGGGGGAAGGGAGGGAAATGCACGGGACTATGGTGGTGGCACAGGGGTGATTTGGTGATGGGAAACCAGCGGGGGGAAAAAAATGTGCAAAATGATGTAAAAATAAACTTTGTAATAAAAAATCTTTTCCTGTCACATCTGAGAATGGGGGTGCAAGAAGTTAACTACCATCTTTTTAATTTATTTCTTTTAGTTTTGTCATCTTTTTCTTATTTAAAATAACAATGTTGGGCCCTCTCTGGAGGAGCAACAGCTTAAAAGCTCAGCTCTATGAAGCTGTCCCTAACTGCTGACCCACATGGCACAGGAGACCTCTCCTGTTTCATCTGCTCCTCCCTTCAGCAGTGTATTTCAGTGGATCTGGCTGTTCTGCTCTCCACTCCGTGTCTGGTGAATCCTCTCACCCTCGGTACTGCTGGCCTGTACCCCAGTTCTTCTATGTATAAGTATTTTAAAAAATAAAAATAACAGTGTTACTTGTTTCTACCAAGACATAGTTGATATGTTACTTCCTTCCCCACTGAACAGAAATGAGACTATTGTACACAATGAAATTATACTTTCTGAGTAAAAAACTGGATTTTTTCTTACCCTATATAAAACTCTGGTACTAGTACCAAGGACACTAGATTTCTAGACCGACGCTTAACAAGGATGCCTATATATTAATGCTAGTTACTTAATCTGAATTAAAGTTGCTTTGTATATCATTCCTAATATATAATAAATTCCCTAGGGTAAAGAATACACTCATTTAGTACACTCCCTGGTGGCATAATGGGTTAAAGCACAGCACTAAGAAGCTAGCCACAACCACTACAGCATGAGTTCTATCCCCATCCAGAGGTGACCCACTTGGCACAGCAGTCGTTTGTCTCGCCAGCAGCTCCCCTTAGCAGTCTACTGCACCAATCTGCCTGCTGTGCTCCCCACTCTGCCTCTGGTGAGTCCTCTTACCACCCCCTGCACCTCTGCCCTGTATCCCAGTTCTGTATGTATAAATAAACCTTTTTAAAAAAGTACACTGACTTAGTGCCCTCGTTTATTTAGCATCTGTTCTGTGCCAACATAGAATGATTATAGCAAATTATAATTTATAAAATATCTACCTGTCATGTCTCTTGATTTGTTGAATTCCTCCACAAATATCAAGTTCCCAAAATATTTATTATCTGAAGTTCATGCTTCTTCTCGTTATTGGTAGTAGTACAACTTCCTTGTAATATTAACTTTGAGTCTACTGTCTCCATAATGTCACCTCTTGGGGGCCATCCTTATAGTTTGGAAAACATACAGCAGAATATCTGGTTTGACAGGAGTCTGACTTTATCTCACAGCTGATGATGCAAGTTTGGAATCTGTAATAAGATTGCTAAGTGTGAAAGCAGTTACAAGAAAGCTAGACAAGAGGGGAAAGCCCAAGCAAACATATGTGTTAACATTAAAGCTTTGCATGGCTCTGATTTTAAGATTCTCCTGACTCATTTAAAACCACTTCAAAACCTTTACTAGCATTTTAAATTACAAAATAACACATATTCAAGTATTCAATAATATGTAGAATCTCATTATCTCATTGTTCAATATATTCAGAACCTCTTGTTCTTTCCATTTTTTTTTTTAAAAAGAAACCCCCTTTTTTTTTTTTTTTTTTTTTAAGATTTATTTATTTGTGCATACAGAACTGGGGTACAGGCCAGAGGCTCAGGGGCGGTGAGAGGCTTCACCAGAGACAGAGTGGGGAACAGAATAGGCAGATTGACGAAGTACACTGCTGAGGGGAGCAGCGGACGGGCCAGGAGAGGTCTGCCACGCCATGTGGTCACCTCCGGGTCTGCCACGCCATGTGGTCACCTCCGGGGCAGGCGGGAATTGATCTCATGCGGAAGTGGCTTTAGATTCTCAGTGCAGCGCTTTAACCCGCTGTGCCACCAGGGAGGGCCCTCTTTCCATTTTTTAATACGTCCCCCAAACCTGTTCTACAAGTCTGTATCCAAGTTTCTACATAACCTATCTCGGAAAATGTTTTACAGGGCTCTTAATATATTTATTCACATTCATAATATGAACTTTATATATTAGCACTATAAATTTGTATATCCTTTAATAATTACATTACAGAACTTTTATTAATATTTTAATGAGTAATATAACAGGCACCTTATAGAAAAAGCACTTCTTAAAACCCAGGTATAACCAAGCATCAATACTTTTCAGTAGTATTCTGTTGGAAAACAAATCCAAAGATACTGTGGAACCCAGTACACAAGGCTATGTTTTTAACTTTCCCTTAAAATAATGAAAGTAGCATCTCCCTTGTTACAGTTTCTCCAGTTTCTTTGGCTGTAATATACAGCAAATAAAGCTAAATAGCTCCTACAAGCTAAAACCTAGATGACTTTACAGCGCCCAATTCAGTGGCCAAATGTATTGAATATTAGAGGAAATAGATTTTATTGCATTGAAATGTGCCCAGTTTCAGGAACAGTTAAGTTCTAAACATTATTTAAAATACTTGAAAGGGTAAGTCATTAAACATCTTCAATATTTTTCAAAACCCCTCATTGTATAGTAATTGGTATCCAAATTACAATTTGTCTTTTAAGTAAAAACAATTATTGAAAAGACCCCAAAAAGGAAAGTATATTTATTTGAAGGAAGTATCAATCTTCCTTTCAACAATTATTGAGTTTACATTAAATTAACCTTCCTTCAGTACGTCTAAATGTAGTTAGATATTTACAAATTATCCATATCTGTAAATACGGTGCTCAGAGGTGAAATAGCTTCTATCATACTTTCCCATTCAGATCACGCAGGAACTCTATATCAAATACAGCTTATCAAGTCATGCCCAGAATCAAAGTAAAAATGATGGCCAGTTAAATTCACAATGCTGTCTTTATTCAAAGTATTTCTCACTGTGCAAAATACAGTACTAAATGGCTTCTGAAGATTTAATTTTTTATATGAAAATCAGATATAAAACTGTGGTTGCTATGTGTACATTTGCAAATGTAAATCCACCCGAGTATGCCCGTAGACAAGACTCTCAACGGGGATTAAATTTAACTGCCTTCATAAGGAGCTTCAGCACAAAATTATCGCCGAGATGACACCCGCAAAATGATCTTTCTGATGATCACTCCTGCTGGCGACACTTGATAAGGCATGCCTGGGGTAGCAATCACCAAGGCTCAGAAAAACTGCGCAACAGCCTGGGAGCTAGGACTGAAACTTCTCCACCCCCCTCAGGCTCGGCCTTTCCTAAACCGGGGCGTCTCCTTGGGTGGGAGCAACACTTGCAACTAGCAGCTCCGCTTAGGCAAGGCAATTTGCCTAGCCACTTGTCCCTTCTCCGTGGTCTCCTCCCATCCTCCCTCCCCGAAGGCCAAGGACAGCGACGTCCTCCATCTCCTCCTCTTTGGTGCCTGCGGCCAGGAGGCGGGTGTGACCCTCAGCAGCTGACCCAGCACAGGCACTGCCTCCTCTTCCACAGCCCTCAGGACACACGATGGGCCCAGAGGCAGGTTTGCAGCACAGCAGCGACGGCGCAGGCGGCGGCCCGGGCGACTCTCAACTGCCTCCCTGACCGCCGCGACCACCGCCCAATACCCCGAGAAGCCATCGCTACCCAAGGCAAGAGACTTTAGGGACCCCAAAGACCATCTTCGTGATCGACTCAAGCTACGTCAACAACTATGGCAGGCGAGGGGTGGCGGGCGGAGCGGGTGCGGGAAGATTGGGGGATCTACGTCACGCCCAGAGCACCCCTGCGGGAGGGCCGGCGGCGAATGAGCCCTCAAAATGGCGGCAGCAGTGACGCGCCTGCGTATGGAACTCCTTCCCCGTCACGTCATGGACGGCGGGAAGTGAGGTTCTCAGAAGAGCCGCCAGAAGTGTACGGCGATTTCGAGTCCCGGGCAACCACAGAAAAGTCCCCGGCGGGAAAACGAAGCCCGCGAGGAGAGTTCCGGTATGATTCTGAGAAGGAGGAAGTGAGAGAAAGCACCTACTATCTTCGATCTCAGCGGAGGCAGTGGCGACCCCAGGAAGCAGAAGAGATGAAGACACGAAGGGCTGTTAGCCGACGGCAGCAGCGGCAGAATTCGCGGCAGTCTCCGCTACAGCCGTCTCCAGTTACGACTAGAAGAGGGATACGGGACTCTCATTTCTCTGAAGGTGAGATTGATGGAGGGAACAGTCCCAGCTGCACGCCAGGGAGTGGGCGAGCGGGGCGCGGGCACCCGTGGCTCCTCCTCCGCGATGGATGTGCGCCCCCACGCGGGGAGCCCGACCGCAGGCGGAAAAGGGGCCCGGGCTAGAGGCCCTGAGCAGACCCGGGGAGCTCTGCCCTTTCTTAGCAGTTTAGGGGCGTGAGGGGTTGCCCCTTTCTGCCGGCATTTACGGGGGCGACAGTTAGGCGGCTGCCTGGGCCCGGGCAGGTTGCCTACCCGATGTTTGTACTAAAGCCCTTTCCATTTCATCCTTTAACTCTCAGAATCCCCAGCTGAGGGTCGTTGTCCCAGTCCTTTTCCCATAAGCACCCTGTAGGGAGAGAAGGGGAAATGCTGGCGCTTGGAGGGAAGCGTAGTTCATGAATTGACCTGACGCCCCTACTCCTCTGCTTTCACCCAGTAGTGTAAGTCAGTAAGCCTGAACTTGAAACTCCTCAATGCAAGGTAAACTGGAGCTGATTGCTCTTTATCGTGTTAGTCTCTACCAAAAATTCTTCACCTTGGGGACTCTCAGTGTAACCTCGTGGTTAAGGAGCCTGACAAAGCAAGACTTCTAACTTCCCTCAAAATGTACTAAAAGGATGCTTCAAAGTATGTGTGTAGTTTTAGAACGACACAGTTGAACTCGCTCCCTTAACACATCTTTACCTACCCTGCCCCACATCTCTAACCCTGAGTCAGAGATGACATTCATGTGTTAGCCCCGTGCAAGGTACCTATGATGCAAAAAGTCAGGAGGCGGGATCACAGTGGATTTACATGGCTAGTGATAGACCATTGATGGATATGAAGAAGATTCTCAATGTAGAGCGGATGTGTTGATATTTAGAAACTGTATTTTTAAAGACATTGAAGTTACTATTTCATGGAACAACTCAAAAAACAGTTTAGTCCATATATACCTTAGTTTTATTTATCTTAAGATTATTAACTTCCTGAAAACAAATGTCTTATCTATATATATATTTGAAAAGTCATGTGATACTTATGTATCTAGGAGAATGCTTTGCATATAGTAGGGGATAAATATGTTACATTATATTGGCTCTTCCACAGAACCTACTGTAGTTCTGTATTTTTTAAGCACATGAAGGATTACCTGTTTCAGTAAATCTATAAGAATGAAATATTTTTCACTCTTGTATTCCATATTTATGATGCTTTAGCTCATCTTTTAAATTTTCTAAAAGTAATTTGCTTTGATTGTGGTGTATCAGTGTTATATATTTTAATTTTATATTGTCAAGAATAGTTCTAACTAATTAAATTTCTAAACTTTGATAAACTTAATTACATATTTTAAGAAAATGAATTACTTGCATTTCTGCTTAGTTTGTTAATACATATAATCCTTATCCAGAGCATACAGTCTGATTGTTGATAATTGTCTTGTTTATTCTTTAGAGGATGAACCGTTGTCATCTTCACAGAGCCACACCCTCTCAAAGAAAAATAACAGAACACAAGAGACTTCAGGTTTGTTAGTTTCCTTTCCTGACTTTTGTTTTGTTTTGTACAGAGTTTAAAATAATAGCCTGATTTCTCAAGGGTCCCAAGTCATACTTCACTCAGAGTTTTAGTGAAACTTGTTTATTGACTTAAGCAATACAGGTCTGTGTCAAGAAAAGGGAGGTGGGGGAATGTAGAGACTGGGGCAGATACTTGAGTTTTTTGCTAAGTACTAGGCATTTTTTGTAGATGTTAATTCATATAACTATGCAAGATAGAAATTGTGCTGATGTTACAGAGTTGCTAAGATTTTCCTAAGATCATGCAATGGATGTCTAAGCCAAAATTGAGACCCAGTTGTGTTTTCTTCAGAGTGCTTTGATTTCTCAAGTACCTCAATAATTCTCTCATGTGATAGCTACTTAGTAAACTTTTAAAGGTTGAATGAAGAATACAACACACTACCTATCATTTAAAATAGATGAAATAGGGTCCTTCCTCATTGAGCAACTGTTAAAGCACAACACTACAAAGCTTGCCGCAGCTGCCTCAGCACAAGTTCGATCCCCAGCCAGGGAGGTGAACCACGTGGTGAGGCAAACCTCTCTTGTCTCATCCACTATTCTCCTCAGCAGTGTACTTCGTCAGTCTGCTCTTCTACTACCCACTCTGTGGTGAATTCTCATTCCCTCTGCACCACTGGCCTATATACCAGTTCTGTATGTATAAATAAATAAGTCTTTTAAAATAAATAAATAAAATGGATTACATAATCGACAAAGTAAATAATTGCTAAAATCAGATTTTATTTACAGTAGTTTTAATTACATGTGATCTATACCCTGAGAAGCAAAAAGTTCTCTTTGTTTAAACTTGTAATAAATTTATAGAAATTTTGAAGTTAAGGAAATTGATAAAATGATTATTGAGCACCAAACTCAGCAATCTATTGTATAATAAAACCATTATATAACTGAGCAGTCTTTGGTGTTCACATTAGGCCTATAAGTAAGGGCTTGCTAAGAGGTACATGACTGCATAGTGTTATAGAAGGAGTTCTGGACCTTAGTTGAGTTACAAGCCCACTTTAAGTGAAAGGCCTTTATCTATATAATTTTCCCTGCTTAACTGACAAGGCTCCTACAAAATGATACAGTACAAACAAAATCACAGTAAAACATATGCAATTTATTAAACTTTGATTAAGCATGTCTGTCTTTTTCTCAAGAATCTTATAACCAGAAAAGGAATAGATACAACATTGCCCTGTATAGATGATAGCTTGTTGGAACCCATGCTAATATTAATCTGGAATATATCATGGCATACAATATACGATAATTAGAAATAGAGGTATGTGATCTTAAAGAGATTTAAGATACTTGATTCTCTAACTCTAAAAGGTACCTTCAAAAATGATTTTGTATCCAGCAGTTGGCATGTTCACATCTGAGCCCCTTAGTGAAAGAAGAAAGCATTTAGGGAATTGTTAAATAAATACTTGTACAGTCTTTCTAGCAGTTATTTAACAAGGAGTCATTTGATAAAAAATTTCCACCTTTCTTACAGAATCATAGGCTTTCTGTTTAATTTTGGTATCAAAATAGTGATATACACTATCTAAAGTAGAATGTTCCCATTTGATATGATTTGGAAGATAATTTTTTGTATCTGGGAATACTTAAAATTTTTTCCATTAAATTAATAAATTGTTACCATTGAATTAATGATAATAGCATTCCCATGTCCAAAAATCAATCTAGTACATCACACCAGATAGGAATGTTCTACTTTCAGATAGCAAGAGAAACCTATAATTGTATATAGGACTACTGGATGTGGTTTGAGAGAACTTTATCCAAAACTACCCTTAAGAATAAAAATCTAAAGAGGCCACCTTCTAAAGCAACCTAATGAAGACATCTACACTGTCTATCATTTTGTTTTAGGAAGTCATGAGAAAATGTTAATTACTTTAGGACAGTGATACAGTTAGAATAGAACTCTTATCATTGTTTGAAGTTCTAGAACTGAGTTATTTTCACATTAAATAGCCATTTGGATCAATCAGTTCAATTAATATGTACATATATAACTGCTATTCTTCTATGGCCAGACTCATTCCTTTCTGAATATAATGAAACTAATTTTATAATCTAAAAATATATTGAGAAAAATTTCAGTGAACTTTTCAAAGAGTAAGTAAATATTTTTGTTCTAACAGTTGTGATTTCTAACTAAATAATGGTTATTTTAAAATTCCTATTAGTTTGTCATGAATATTTGATTCCTTAGCTCCTATAGTTGTAATATTCATTCATTCACCAGATATTTATTGAATACCTGCTTTTTGCCAGTCCCCATGTTAGATGTGGGGCTATAGGGGTGAATGAAAGTGGACAAGGGAAAGAAATTGCTATGAAAGAAGGGTACTTGTTATTTTATTCTTTAATGACTCCCTGGCACTGTTTCCTTGGGTATCTTATATCAACTATATATATGATAGAGCACAAGAAATGCTTTTTTTATTTTGGATTTTATTTGATTTTTCATAGAAGAACTGGGGTGTAGGCCAGAGGTGTGTGTGGAGAGGGTGGTGAGAGGATTCACCAGAGAGAGAGTGGGGAGAAGAACAGGCAGATGTACTGAAAATCACAGCTGAGGGGAGCAGTAGGTGGGGCAGGAGAGGTCTGCTACACCATGTGGGTCACCTTACTGGCGGGGGGCAAACTCATGCTGCAGTGGCCGATGATAGCTTGATAGCACTGAGACTTTAACCCCTGTGCTACTAGGGAGGCCCACCAAAAGTGACTTTTAAAACTAAGTTGTAATTACCTAATGTGTGAAACACTAGCAACCGAGATAGGTATTTTATAGAATCTTAGAGCTGGGAGCCTTAGGAAGGACAGCTACACAAAGTTGCGTAAAGTATGTGGTATGCCTTTAACATCCGGATATTCAGCCATTATTTAACCATAATCAGTGACATGGAAATGATTCCCTCAGTATTTTGTTTTGAAGGGAACTCTAGTAACTTTTTTTAATATGTAAAAACTACTTTGTTGTGACTTTCTCTGGATCAACTTAATTATGCCTTTTTGAGTTGTATAAATAAATATGATGCATAATAATAAGAGTCACTAAACTATTTTTTTAACCATTGAATGCCTCTCCTTTCAAGATTTCTAGATACTGTAAAAGGGAAGTTGGGTTTAAATCGGTTTTATAAGAACAAACATAGGGAATCAGTGTAATGGAAGGACCATTAATAGTCCAGGATGTGGTAATTACCGCATACAAAATCAAACATAATGTTGTTTTCATAGAGACCAATGAGAAAAACAGTATAATTCAAATTTGAATATAGGTTGGATATTAGGTTATTTTTTGTGAGGCTCCTTTAGAGCCTCTAGGTTAACGTTAATATTTTATGTAAGGGCATTGGCATCTTCACTTGAGCAGTAAACAGTCTGAAACAAGTACTAGCTAGCATTAACATTTTATTTCAAATTAGAGTTTGCAGTTCTCAGAAACAAGGTTGAATACTTGGAGGAACTGAATGAATTCTCATGAAGTTAATTCTAAAATTAAAGTATGCCATAAATAATCCACAAAGAGGGTAAGCAACAAATGGAGTAGGTAAATGAGTTAGTGCTAAGTACAGATTTTGGTTCTTAGGTAAGAAATTTAGAAGCATTTAATTTGGTATTCTTTTCCTTTTATATAAATATGGCCTGTTGAAGCAAATTGCAACTTTTTGCCTCAAGGCCATAAGTGTTATGTCAAAAAACTTGTCTCTAGATCACTATTGAATTCCTACATCTTGCATAGGATGAATGAATAGGTAATTGTATAATAAATCTAGTATGCTTGACATTTTATATATTTTTCAATATTCTTTCTGTCTGTACTAGTGGTGGGTGAAGATCCTCTAACTGACCTCTGTAGACCCCCTCTAAGAAGCAAACGATCTGGTAAGAGATTGTTTTTGTCTGTTGATTTAATGTTTATATAAATACAATTTCATTTTTAGCAGGGTAGTACATGCACTCATATGGTTCAAAATTCAAAAGTTAGTATGTATTTTTTTATACACACACACACACAGAGTAAAAAGTCTCCCTGCCTGCCCCATCCTTTACTCACCCTGTACCCTTACTAGAGGCAAACAATTTTTTCAGTTTTTAAAGTATTTTTCCAGAGATAGTTTATGGAAGTGTAAGGAAATTCATATATAAATTATATTTTCTTCCTTTTAAGATAGATTTTAGCCTGATAATACTCTTCTGCACCTTCATTTTGTTTGTTTTTTTCATTTAACATGTTCTTTCCACATAGGCATATAAAGGCTTCCTCGTTTTTTAAAGTTTATGTGTTGTAATTATTTTTTTTGTTGTTGTTACCATGATTTTATTTTTATTTTTCTTTAGCATGATGATTTTAAACTAGAGTCAGACATTTTATTCTTCCTAATAAAGGGCTAATAAAAATTTCAAGACTCAGTCTTTGTGGCTCAGGACTATAGAGTTTCTTTGCCTCATTTACATTTAACTGAAACAGAAGGTGTTCCCCTTAAATTGATTTCATGACTATGGAATAAACCAGTAAAACCATTCTATGCAGTGTGCTCCTATTAAACATTTTCAGAGATTTTTGGTACATAAGGATGCTTTATTCTGGGAACTAAAAATGAAGCTCATTTGTTTTCATAGCAGTTTTGTACTCAAGCATATTCTTTGAGACTTATGTTTAAATTTTTTTGATAGTTGATTGTTCAAGTATTAAAATGATAAAAATCTGCTGTGGTTTTATTGATGAGCCTGCGTTAAAGAACCATATGATGCATTTCCTTTTTAGATCTAATCATGTCTCGCTATCTCTCTTCCAGATTCGGCATACAAAACAAATGGAAATACTAAAATGAGTGAATTAGGTTGGTTTATCTCTAATTCTTACAGGTTCTCATTGAGAGTTACAGGTATTAGTAAAATACCAGAGTTAACATATATGGTGACTATAGAGTATTACTTTGTTCTTTATCCCTGATGAATGGGACACTGTCCCTGTGACCACTGACCTTTCATGATAGCCTTGGTTTTTCTTCTTCCTGAAATTATCTTTTTTATGATATTGCTTAAATTCATCCAGGGATGTAATACATTTATACATTTTAGCTTTTAAAAGTCTTTGTTAGATTCACACTTTTGAGAAAAAGATCTTATCAATTTACCAAATAAGGTTTTTTTCCTTGATTTAGAAAGTGAATTTGAATAATTCAGTAACAATTAGTTCATAAGTAAGTACAGTGTCCTTTGCCATGTTGAATGTTTTCCTTGGTGTGTAGAATGAGATATTCTGAGGATAAACTTTGGGTTTAGTTTTAAGTTAAAGTTTTTTCAAAATTTGGAGATGAGTCAAAAAGAAGGAAGCTTCATTTTCTTTTACACAAGTAGTTTCAACTTCCTTTTTTAAATCCATCTTTTATTTAAGCTTAGATTAATTTCTTCAGAGACTTCAGGATATATAGTGTCTGGCTGGGTAAAGTACTAAGAATGACCGAGTAGTGTACAGTTTATCGTGTTTTTATCTGAATTTGGCACTTTTACTTTCTACACTAGATTTAGAAGTCCTTTTTATAATTACTCTATAGGAAAAGCTAAGAATAAAAAACATGTTTTTAGTTTAAAGATTTTTGTGAGATTAATATAGTAAATGGCTCCCTCTGGTTCTATTTAGAATAATATTAGTGCATCTTGGAATAGATGAAATGGCTTCATGAAAGTCAAATATTGGTGGCATCCTGCAACTGTTTTTATTCTTTGTTTCCTACTGTCCCATTCTGATGCTATTTTCAAAAATAGATTGGCTTTGAACAGTTTTAAATATTCCATTCTTATTAGTGTCTACAGCAGGTATCAGCAAGCTATAGCTTCTCAGTAATATCTCATCCACAGTCCTATTTGTATAGCCTGTGAGTTGAGAGTATTTTTAAATATTTGTAATATATGTGTGGATATGATACATACATATATATACACACACATATGTATGTGCGTGTCATGCATCACAGAGACTTTGTGTGACTTGGAAAATATAAAATATTGACCCATTTTTTGGAAAAGTTTCAATTTCTGATTTGTAACAGTGGCAGGAATGCAGACTGGAAATCACTTAAATTGTCATTTGTTTTAAAAGTAAGTTTAGAGTTCCTTACTTGCAGGGACATAGATTTATTATAAAACTCCCTATAAGGCTATACTGGCTGCACAAGAAGACAGGAGACAAAATTCTATCTACTTATAATAGTAGTCTCACTTATAATAGCTTCATATCTTTGTCTTCAGACAAGCCATAAAGGAAGCAAAATTTATACTTCTTTGATTACCTTCACTTCTTACACCAGTGCTTTCCATAAATATCCCTGGGAATAGGAAGGTGTATAATAGAAATATAGATGCTTTGACACTTGGGCTTTCAAAATATCTAGGGAATTTTATGAACTTTGTATTTTCTTTAAAAACTGGCCAAGAAGGTGAACAGAAAATGATACAGTTAGTGGTTGATCTCTTCACCAGAGAAAATGAACATGAAGACTCACACGTTCTAAAAGGGCATTTTCTAAATTGGTTGAGGTTTTTGAATAAATAATACTTCCTTAACAGTATATTTAATTATTGTCATTTGTCTATATGTTTATTAAAGTCACAGTTTAAAAAGTAAGGTTATTACTGTAGAAAATAGGATTTAAACTTCTCAGAGTTTCTGCATAGGTAGGGAAGAGTAATATCTTTTTAAAAAATATTTTTTAAAAGCTCTAACCTTCTGCATGCAGCAACCAACCATTTCTTTAAACTTTAAGAAGTTTAAAATAAAGGAAGCAGAGTAACAAAAGAAGGAAATGAAATTAAAACTTAATGTAGCCATAAGTGCTGCTGATTTCACCCTCAGATTATAATATTTAATATTTATCTGTACATGCTTTGCAGTCTAATTTTAAAATATGAAAGCATGAAATTATAATATGAGAAATTTAAGTAAAAATCTTAAAAGTTTATTCTGTGATCATAAAATCTATTCATTTTTAAATACCTTTTATATGGATGTTAATGACTGCCTTTAAAAGCTAGAACCATAAAGAGGCATGAAATTTTTTTTTCTCTAACTCTTAGGAGTAAATGAGCTAATGGAAAAGAAAAACAAATATAAAAATTTAAATGATAGAAATGTTAATATTTATATAGTAGGTTAAGGAGAAGTGTCCTCTGTGGGAAAGGTCAAGGAAGGTTTTATGGAGGAGATGACATTTGAGTTGAATTTTGAAAAATTAGTAGCAGGCAAATTATGGAAGGAGACTCACAGATATTCTAATCTTATGAACATCACTATTTTACTTTTAGAATCCATGCAATGTGAGAAATTAAGCTCCTTTAGAGAAAACTATCTCACATTAGCTGTGATTCTGTGATATCTTTTGATAAATAATTTTGAGAATGACTTTCTAAAGATTGGGTTTTTTGAGCTTCGGTTGCAATAATGATGAAAACCATGTTTTAAAATTTGTATATAGCCAAAACTATAAATGGCCTGATATAATGATGATTTGTTAAATAATTATCAATGATATGATTATTAAAAATTTCTAATTAATAGGATGTTATCAGAGTATGAGGTACAAAATAATACTGTCTTTTGTTTTTAGTGATGGTATCAGACAGTCTTTCTTAACAAGTTACTGATCATGACCTTAATATTGGTGATGATTATATGTTGTTAGGAACATGGAGTTCTGAAAAATTCCATTTAGACATTAGACACTAGATTAAAAGTCTTAAAAGTGTTCAAAAATAGATAATACCATAACTTATTAAATACTTCAAATATGATAGAACATTAGGTGTATCATAAACAAATGGGAGCTCTCATGTATGAATTTTTAAAAAATTATTCTTAAATCTTCTCCATGATAATTAGATAACAAACATGTAAACAGAAAAAAGAGGCTAAATTTTATGTAATCTGGTCTATGAAGGATTAGATGAATTGGGTTTAAAAATTTGAAGAGTTTCAAAAGTATACAGGAATAACGAGAGAATAAAGGATTTCTGAATATAGAATGAGAAAGGAAGAGATTAGCGTATTATTCATTTTTGACTGATAGCACAAATAAATATATCTTTACCATATTTTTCCATTATTATGGGTTCTAAAATTCAGCCTTAAAAAAATTTACTATAGCAAATATTCTTTATGCTGTATAAAGCATTGTGCCCTTATATATAAATGTAATTTTAGCAAGGCTATAATATTGCAGTAAATACACTTGGTTGCTATGCAGTTGCTGTAATCTGTTTTAGGAAGAGTTCAACTCTCAACCTTTTCTTCATCATTTGTTCATTCAAAAATTTATTGAGGGAAACTTCCAGTTCCTTGTTCTATATTAAAAGGCTTAGAGGGCCCTCCCTGGTGGCGCAGTGGGTTAAAGCACTGCACTAGGAAGCTGAAACCAATTCCTCATGAGTTTGATTCCCACCTGCCCCAGAGGTGACCACATGGTGTGGCAGACCTCTCCTGACCCGCCCGCTGCGCCCCTCAGCAGTGTACTTCGTAGATCTGCCTGTTCTGCTCCCCACTCTGTCTCTGGTGAAGTCTTTCGCCACTCCTGAGTCTCTGGCCTGTACCCCAGCTCTGTATGCACAAATAAATAAATCTTCAAAAAAAAGAAAAAAAAAGAAAAGGCTTAGAAATTCCCAGTCTAATCTCATAACAAGTAAAAATTGATGATGAAAAATGAATAGCTCTTTTTGGATCCATAAGAGAAAACAGGACTATGGACAAACCACTACTCCAAGATTGGAGAGACCAACAAATTTAAATACAGGGAAGTAATGACTTGCCAGAGTTGAGATTCATAAGTGAAAGCCTGTGTAGGAACCATTCCTAGGTAGAAAAACCTGAACTGCACTTGGTAAATTGCTGGGGGCTCAGTGTGTACAAGTTTGAGAGTTAAAATTTCCAAGAGTATCTAGTCACAAGAGAGCTCTCACTATAGCATAAGATTTACCTCCAATGCCTCCCACAGTAAATACCAGAAAGAAATTCCCTAATGACTCCTAGGGGGGAGGGTAAAAGAGCCTTTTTGAAATATGCCAGAGTACTCTTCTTCCTAACAAATCCAGCCCTTAGAAACTGACCTGGGGAGAGGGAAATACCCAACTTTAAGCCAAATTAGACATCCTGTCCCATCCTGTCCCTGGGTAAGGGATGGGTAAGAGGTAGAATCTTACTAAAAGAAGGAAACCTAATAAGACTATAGACTACTTCCCCCTGCCCCACATCTCACTACCACATTACCAAAGGTCTATTTATAGCACTTCCTTTCTACCCAATACATTGTGTGTAGTTATCTAGAAAAATTCCAAAACACAGCAAAAGAAACAAAACAATTTGGAGCAAACATCAGAACCAGACATGAGAGATGTTAAAATTGTCAGACTGCAAATTTAAAACAAGTGTCATTAATATACTGAGGACACTAATAGTTAGAGAGCATGCAAAAACAGATGACAATGCAAGCAGATAGGTGGAAATCCCAAGAATAAAAAAGAAATACTAGAAGTAAAAGGCAGTATAACAGAACTGAATGCCTTTGATAGGCTTATTAGTAAACTGGATACAGTTGATGAAAGAATTTCTAATCTAGATGCTATATCAATAGAATCATCAAAAAAATGGTGATGTGTTAAAGATGTTAGCTAATGCTACTCCTGATAATTAAATTGTATGTAAATGTAGCAAATGAACATATTGTTAACCTTAGATTTGCACAGTATTATGTTAAATCTCAACTTAAAAATCCTAAAAAACAAAAAACAAAGACTTAGAATAAGAGAATGAACTGGTCACAACTACAAAAAAATGTAACATGAATGTAATGGGAATATCAAGTGAAAAAAGAAAGGAACAGAAGAAATCTTGAAACAACTAATGATTTCCCCAAATTAATGTGAAACACCAAGCTACATATTCTGGAAGTTCAGGATACTAATATCCTGAAAGTGCAATAGTCAAAATAAATGCCAAAAAAAAGAAAATGTATCTAGTTTATAGCATTTTCAAACTACTGAAAATCAAAATAAACAAAAAACCTTCAAAGAAACCAAAAGAAAATACCTGACCAATAAAGGAATGGAGACAAAAATTACACCTAACATTTCCTCAGAAACCATGCAAACAAGGAGAGAATGGAGAAAAAGATTTTAAATGTTGAGTGAAAAACACAAACCAAAATTCTGTACTTTGCAAAATTATCCTTATAAATCAAGCTGCTAGACAGTCTTAAGAAAAAGGGAAAACTAAGACAGAGAAGCAGACATTGTTAATATCAGAAATGAAGAACACCACTACAGTCCCATGGAAATTAAAAAGCTAACATAGGAATACTGTGAACAACTCTGCCCATAAATTTGATAACCTCAGTTAAGTTGACCTATTTCTTGAAAGACAATGTACCAAAACTTCTTTAAGAGGAAGCAGACAATCTGAATAGGCTATATCTTTAAATAAATTTAATCAATAATTAAAACCCTTCCAAAACAGAAAGCACCAGACCCAAACATAAGTTTACTGGTGAAGTCTACCAGTGTTTAAGGAAAAAATTATACCAATTCTCTACAATCTCTTTCAGGGGATAGAGCAAAGAGAATACTCACTAACTAATCCCATGATGCCAGAATTATCCTGATACCAAAACCAAACAAAAACATTAAAAGAAAAAACAAAACCCTATAGTTTAAGGTGTACAGTATATTGAATCCTGAAAAGTACAAATAGGTTACACATTATTATCAAATAGACTAGTTCAACATTTTGAAATTAATATAATCCACCTCATTAATAGACAAAAAAAGTCACACGATCATATTGATGTAGAAAAATCATTTGATAGAATACAGCATCCACTCAAGCACTCAGTAAACTTGGAATAGAAAGGAACTTTCTCAGTTTGATAAAGGCTATGAAAAGACCTACACATTCTGTCATAATGATGAGAAACTGGATATTTTTGTACTAGTACGAAAGGTCAAGGATATACAAGGTCAGGATGTCTTCTTTTCAATATTGTATTGGAGCTTTTAAATGAACACAAAAAGGACATTGAGTTAAACAGATGGAAATGAAAAAATAAACTCTTTGTTCACAGATAATGTAATCATCTATATTGAAAAGCCAAAAAATGACAGAAGACTTAAACAATAATAGCAACATTATAGGATGTAAGATTAATATACAAAAAAGCCAATCATATTGCTGTCTATTAGCAATGAACAAAACCACAGAATTTACATTAGTATTATCCCAAGTGAATCCTTAGATATAAATCTAATAAAGAGATTATCCGAGATCTATGAGACAAAGTACAAAACTGATGAATGACATCATAGAACTACTAAATAAATATTCCACATTCATGGACAGAAAGAGACAATATTGTCAACATGTCAGCTCTTCCCAGTTCAATTGATAGATTCAGTGCAGTCCCTGCTAAAATCCTACAAGTTGTTCAGTGGATATTGCCAAACTAATCCTAAAGTTTGTAGGGACAATCAAAAGATTCAGAGTAGCCAACACAGTATTGAAGGGGAACAGAGTGGAAGGACTGACAATAATTATCTCAAGACTTAATATAAAGCTCTGGTAATGAAGACAGTGTGGTATTGGCAAAAGAAAAGGCAAATAGATTTAAAAAAAAAAAAGAGCCCAGAAGTAAACCCATGTATAGTCAACTTATCTTTGGCAAAGGCACAATGCAATGAAATGAAGCAATCTTTTTAGCAGATGATGTTAAACATACATTCATGAAAAGTAAATCTAGACACAGACTTTATACTCTTCACAAAAATTAGACTAAATAAATCACAAACCTAAGTGTAAAAAAAAGCTACTAGGAACTAACACTGGAAAAAATCTAGATGACCTTGGGTATGTCAGTGACTTTTTAGATACAACACAAAGGCAAAAATCAATAAAAGAGAATTGATAAGATTACTTTGTTAAAATAAAAAACTTGTTATGCAAATGACAATTTTAAGGAATGAGAAGATAAACCATAGACAGGAAGAAAAAGACAGCTAAAAAGGACTACTAGCCAAAATATACAAATAACTCTTAAAACAACCCAAAGAACTCAACAGACACCTCAGCAAAGAAAACATAAAGGTAATAAGTAATGCTCCATATCTTATGTCACTGGGGAAATTTAAAACAATGAGATGCCACTGCACAGATCCAGAAAACTGACACTAAGTGCTCTAAGCATGTGGAGCCAGCAGGAACCTTTTATTTACTTATAGGAATTCTGAGATGTGAACATTGGTACAAAGCTAGCATGACTTTCTTACAAAAGTAAGCAACTTTACCATACAGTCCGGTAACTCTGATATTTACTCAAGAGTGTTGAAAACTTAAGTCTACACAAAAGCCTGCATACATGTTTATAGGAGCTTTTCAAAATTGCCAAAATTTGGAAGCAACCAAGATAGTTCTTAGATAAATGGATAAAGAGACTGGACTATCCAGACAACAAACTATTATTCAGCATTAAAAAATGAATTATCAAAACATGAAAACAAGTTGAAAGAAGCTTGCATGCATATCAATAAATGGAAGGTGCTTGTTTAAATAGGATAAGCGACTGTATGAATCTACGTAACGTTCTGAAAATGGCAAAACAGTAAAAAGGTTGCAAGAGTTTCAGTGTGGGGAAAGGATGAACAGGTGGAACAGGGAGAATTAAGTAATGTACCATGATGATGGGTACTTGTCATTTGCCTACATACGTTTACTTGCATACATTTACCTAAACCCCAGAATGTACATCAGTGTGAACTGCAATGTAAATTGTGGTGTGTGGATAATTATAATAATACCACTCTGGTGGTAGGGGATGTTGTTAATGGGGGAAGTTATACACATTTGAAAGAAGGGGAAATATAAGAAATCTACTTTCCTCTCAGTTTGCTAACCTTAAACTGCTCTAAGGAAAAAAAGAAAGAAAACCTTAGTACAAAAGTTAATTACTGCTTGCTATTTGTGGTTATTAAGACTGATGCAATGGTAGAAGCATGGTAGACTACAAATCAGAAGATACCATGTTTTTTTTTTTAAATCACTTGTTAATCCTAATTTCTATGAGCCTTAACCTTTGAGAGCATTCTCTTGTGACATAGGACTCAGATAGTAAACATGATTTTTTAAAATATAAATATTAAGGATTGTTACGTGTTGTTTAATGAAAACTGTTCTGGGAAATGTGTCCTTAGTTAATTTCATCATGGGAATGTCATGAAGTCCTTACACAGACCTAGATGGTGTAGGTCTAACATAGGCTGCACACCTATGTTAGATGGTGTAACCTATTGGGAACACTGTCACATACATAGTCCACCACTGGCCAAAATGTTAAGTGATGTGTGACTATTTTAAGATAATAGCTAATGCATAGCCATTGACTCTTTCAAAAACATCTTTTATCTCCATGGCATATAAGTAGTTGTATAGATGAATAAACTACAAGGAAATACAACAGGTTTTTATATAAAGTTGATTTGTTCAACATCATTTCATTACAATGTTAATGAGAAAAAAAGAAAATCCCAGTCTACCTTGAACTAAACATGTTGTTTTGCTTACAGCTACAATTTCCATTGGTGATGTTAAGTGAGGACTTACTGGACTATAATAATGTATTTTTAAAAAGACATTAAAGGAAACAACACCATTTTGGAAAGTACTTTTTAGTTTAGGGGAACAGAATTAAGACAAGTTTGGTTTTCAAGGAAAAAGAAAATGAATAGTCCCCCTAAATTAAAACAGAGCACAGTATTACCAGCAGTTTTCTCAGGGAGAGTTTTTTCTATAGCAAAAATATTGGCGAATATATGTCACAGTAGTTTGTACTTGGCCACTGTTGAGTAATAGGTTAGTATTTAAAATTTTAATTAAACTGATTTGAAAAAAAATTCAAATTCACCATATAGTGTGTTTTCAGTTATCTTTCACAATACCTTTTTCCCTTTTCTAAAGAAAAGAGTGATTAAAATCAGTAGAGGAATAAGCTGAAAAGGAAATATTTCTGCTTTGCAGACCAAATCTGATTCAGGCTACTTCTCATAAGATCATTGGACAATATTTTAGCCCAGTTGTGCAATCTCTGCATGTAGGTATATCTTCCTCTATTAATTTATTTTTTAGAATAGCATCTGTAAAAATAATTCATTTACATTGCTTGATACATTTTCCTCATTTATCTTTGAGATACAGTGGTATATATAGACTTGCTGGAACTAGAAGGAAAATTGATTCCTTCCTTCTTTTTTGGACCTGCCAGTACATTCAAAACTAGCTCATCAGTTGAGGTGGGGTGGGCTTTTCAAAAGTGTAGGCAATCTGGGAAATAGAGAATTTAGGAAGCTTATCAAAACTGGAGTATTTGTCATAGATTTTAGTGTTTCCTACAAATATATCTATGGTTGGAGGAAAAAAAACCTTCTGATTCTAGTTTGTATCAGGCTTATTTCTGAAGTAACCCAGAGGAAAATAGACTTTTAATAATAATTTAACAGGAAAAAAAGACTAGTTGGTGTCTTTATGTTCACCTTTCTAAATGAGGCACTTATTTATCCCTATTAGC